TGAGCAAAAAAAAAAAAAAGAGAGACGGAACGAGGAGAGAGATAGCAAAAAGGTATTGATCGTCCGTCGTTAGAAACGTCGTTTGTCTTGTCGTGCATCATTACTGGGGCGTGCCGTATCCCGACCCGGACCCCGAGCTGGAATGCGAGGGCCCCCCGTCGCTGTAGTACGGCTGCTGCTGCGCGCCGGACGAACGCGGGCTGGGGAGGAGCGGCGGGTACATGTTGCTCCCGCCGCCGCCCTGCTGGGTCGACGAGCCGTGCGACGAGAAAGGGTTCCCCGAGAGCGACGGCGGCGCGGACAGCGGCACGTCCGAGGACATGTACTGAGACGAGCCCGACCCACCGTGACCGCCCTGGCCAGGGTAGCCTCCACCGCCCCCACCCATATGCCGTCCCCCGCTGCCTGTCGAGCTAGCGTACTCTGGGAGGCCGGAGAGGGTATGGTGCGACGAGCGCGAGGGCATGCTGCTCAGCAGATGCCGCGTCGAGCTGCCGACGTACTCGGATGAGTGGTGGTGGTGGCCGTTGGGGCTGTTGGGCATGGACTGGAGGGTCATGGGGTGGTAGAGCTGGAGGGCATCGGCGGCGGGCATGGAGGCGCGTCTGCCGATGGGATCGAGGATACCAGAGAGGGAGGCGCTCCTTCCGGAAGGGGGGAAGGGTGCGGTGGTGGTTGGGCCCGACGCGGCGCGATGTGCGGGGGCGAGGATGCGGCGACGAGCCTAAATAGAGTGATGGGTAAGAAATAAAAATAAGGTGGGACGGTGAGAGGGTACGTACGTTGATCATCCAGTTGGAGACCTGGCTCATGGAGAGACCCGTGGCGTGGCACAGGGCCTTTTTCTCCTCCTCGCTGGGTAGGGGTGATCGCTGTGACGATGGAGCCAGGCCTTGAGGTAATCAGTGGTCTCCTTGGGAAGCTTGCCGCGCTTCCGCTGTGGGCGATCGACGAGGGTGGACGCGGGCATGGTGGGGGGTGAGCGGGAAGGGGAGTTTACTGCGATGTTGGGGGGGAGGGAGGGGGAGTACTGAGGATTTCCAGAGGGGAGGACAAAGTCCGAGTTTTGGAAACCCCACTCGGTCTTTATGCCTGAGATCGACCTACGATCATGCTGACCCGAAATGCGAGCCGAACCTGCAAACAGGTGTGCCTGGGACATGGGGGCGCTAAAGGAACCATGGCGTAAGCCCTCATCATACTTTACAGGCGGACTTGATGAGAGCTGTCCCGGGGTGGAATTGGGCCGCACGATCTGGGCGGGGGACGGATTCCAGTTTTCTGACTCGGAGTAGGGGGAGATGCCTGGTGTGCGGAGGTCGGAAACGGAGGGGGATGTGAACTGGGAGGAGGACGGGGGGGTGCCATTCTGCTGGAAGTCGTAGGAGTTGTAGTCGGTGGAGACGCGGGGGCGGCCGTTGGCGCGGTCGCTGGCGTTCTGCTCGTCGACGGAGGGGAAGGTGTAGCTGGAGAGATTGGACTGGTTGCCGGGGGTGTAATTGGAGCGGAGATTGGTGGCGGGGTAGGGGGCGTGGCGGACGCGACTCTCGGAGTGGAGGACGGGGAGGGACGCGCGGCGGGCGTCGGGGCGGTAGTTGTCCTCAAAGGTGGTGAAGATCGACGGGAGCTGGACCTTTGCGTGGTCGTCGAGCTTGTCGTTAGCAGGGGGGGACTGGGAGCGCCTGTCTGGGCGGGAGACGGAGGAGTCTGTGTCTGCGTTGGAGGTGGCGGAGCCGGACATGCGGCGGTCTGTGTAGAGGACTAGATGGGAGTCTGGGGCGGGCTCGACGTCGAACGGGCCGTGCTTGTCGAGGGCGAACTGGAGCTGCTGGACGTTGTACGAGTTGAGCGGGGGATTGTGGATGAGCTCTGCAGTCGGCATTATAAGATTCGCAGGGAGGGCGGGGCGTGCCATTCAGACGGACGCGCGACTTATTTAACTCGCGATCGCCTCATCTAGGAACACCAGCCCATCTTCCATTCAATTTCCATTTAGTCCACATCAAAACAGTCACAAATCAGTCCACAATTAATCAGATCCATCGCAGACCCCCCGCCGCCCCTCCACGAACGGCTATATTGCCCCGAACCGACCCGGCTCACCTCACCCCAACCCGATCCCCGCCAGCAGCGCCTCAGCCTTCGTCCGCTCCTTCTCCGTCACCGCCACCCCGTCTACCACACGCACCCGCGCGCACCCACGCATCACAAGCCCCCGGTACGCGAGCCGCCCAATGTACGCATCGTCCGGCAGGTCCCGCCGGAACTTGCTGTCCAGCTCCTGCCACCCCGCCCGTCCCTCCGCCGACGACGATGGCTGCAGCGCCCCGGGCACATCCCTCACCAGCAGTGGGAGGTACCACCCCAGCGTGCACGGGTTCATCCTGAAAATCGAGATCAGCATGAGCTCTTTCCTCCATGTGGCGCCCGCCAGCGACCTCGAGATAGATATAGCAGATCTATCTCATGATTGCAGATAGATGTAGATGATAGCCAGCCAGCCAAGCACCCTGCCTGACAAGCGGAACCAAACCCAAACCCAAATCCAATCGCACGTCGCAAATCGCCCAGCCAGTCAACCAACCACCCATCGCTCATCCGTCCATCTCCTCCCACATCCCAAGAATCCAAAAACTTCACCGGTCCCAAAAAAAAACCGCACGTACCTGAAATCCAGCATTTCCACATCCGGCATCTGCTGCACAAGCCGGATCAGAGGCTTCGTCTTCTTCAGCCTCGACCCAATAATCGTCAGTTTCTGTAACCGCGTGAGGCCCTCCAGCGCCCGAACATCTTCCAGGAAGTTGTAGTTTAGGTTCAGCACCCTCAGGTTCGGAACGAGCCGACCCATTCCTCCCTCCCCGGAGGGTAGCCCAGTCAGCCGGCACGCCGCCACCTCGAGATACACCAGGTTGTAGCACGGCTCTTGCAGAAAGTCGCTCTTGAGTGGGTTCCCTAGAGGATGCAGGAGGCGTTGATCATCAGAGTTTAATGGAAATGAAGATGTGGCTTACCTGAGAGATACAACCGCTTCACATCGCGAACATCCCGGGTCAAAAGCTTGCTGCAAAAGAAAAAAGAGTGATTAGATTACTCCTTCCCATGATCACCACCACCTCCGAAGAAGCACAAACTTACAATCCCCTCCCAGCCTGATTCCTCACACTCAAATTCTCCAGTTTGTTCAACCGGCCCAACTGAGTAATCCCCGACAACGCGTTATTATCCGCATACAAAGTGCGCAGGTGAGGCATCGACCCAACATCGAGCTGGGTCAGGCGGTTGTTGCTCAGCCGCAGGATGCGCAGGCGTGGAAGGTGTACGCCGGTAGGTAGGCTTAGCGTAGAGAGTGCGTTCGAGTCTGCATAAAAAATCAGAAAAATGAAGAGCTAGAGAAGTGAAAGAACGGAAACGGAACGGAGAGACCGCCGATCCGAGCAAGGCAAAAAAAAGGGCGTCGATCCGTCCGTCCCACGACGGATATCACACGCATCAGGCATCAAGCATAAGCGCCTCCGCCTCCACATTGCACACTGCGTGTGCCCACACACACACAGTGCGAGCACACGTCCATCCGGGGGCGCATGGAAGGTCCGAAGGAAGGTAGGAAAATGAATGAACGAACGAACGAACGAACGAATAAAAAGGAAGCTAGCAAGCAGAAGAAAAGAAGGAAGCAGGCAAGAGAAAGGACAGACCCACCCAAGTTGAGCGCAATCAACGATTGCAATGATGCGAGCCCTTGCAGGCTATCAATCCTGTTGTGGCTGAGGTTGAGCATCTCCAAGCGCGACCTGTGCCAGAGGTAAGGTAAGGTTGTTAATGTCAGAAAGAGGTTAACACTCGTCGCCACGGCATGCAAACAGCTAGGCAAGCAGGCAAATAGCCAGATGGACAGACAGACAAACGAGGAAAGGGAAAAGGATGGGATGGAGAGACTAACCATCGATACTCCTTGAGATCAATCGCCTTGATCGCGTTGCCCTGCAGGCTGAGCTTCACCAGCCCGTCCATGCGCTGCAGCCCGTCGGCGCTCGCGATCTTGTTTCCGTCGGCTTTGAGCTCGCGGAGGTGCCGTAGGCATTCGAGTTCTACGCGTCAGACAAGAAGAAGAAACATGAGAGGAAGAGAGAGGTGTCAGCGTGCGATTAGATAACGCGAGTGTTCGAAAGAAGGAAGGAAAATAAGCTTACGTCGTAGCAAATCCACCTCGTTATGGCTAATGTCCAAGTTCTCCAGGTTCAGCAGGTGGCTGTACGAGGTTATCCCTGTAAGGCTAAACGCGCCCGAACGGCAAGGGTCGTCAGCACCACAGAAATAATAATAATAAAGGTAAAAGCACAAGGGAAATCAGAATACAGAGAACATGGGAACGAAATCGACGAAATTCCGTTAATCTAAAGTTAATTGGACAGCACCGACGCACCAGTTGTTCGCGACAGATAGTGTCCGCACGCCTGCTGGTATCCCACTCAGCCACGCCAGTTCGTTACGGTTCCTACATCGCGTTCCAACGCAACACAAAATCACAAACAGAGCAAGGTGTCAGTCAGTAACCATACTCCCAACACCCCTAAAGCGAACGGAGACTCACAAACACAGCGAATCCAACCTGGGCAAGAACTCCTTCAACCGCGCCACGCTCTCCAACTTCGCACCCGAGAGGTCAATCGAGCCGAGCTCCTCCCAGTGCGGCTCGAATGGCTGCACGTCCGTGATCACCTCCACCAGCCGGTCGTGCGCGACCCCGAACGAGCACTCGGTGAGGAACGTCGCGTTCGCTTTGTTAGCGCTGGCATTCGCTCTAGAGAAGCTACGTTGACCGGCCGCCGAAGCGGGGGAAGTGGAGGAGGGGCGGTGCGTGTACGAGCGCGAGAAGACGCGTCGCGGTGATTCTGAGGATTTAGACTTGGCTGGTGATTTGGGTTTGCCTGATGAAGGACCAGAGGCGCCGGACGGCCGTCGGTGGCTGAGCGGTTGGAGCTCCTCTGGCCGCCCCGAGCTGCTCGTCTTAGATGGCGAGTCGTCTTCGTCCAGATCTGCATTCAACGCGTTATGTTAATGTTGTATTGATTTCAGCATCGTGTCATAATATAAAAATAGAGCAACGGAAACGGAACGCACCAGAATCCTCCAGTGCATGCATCATGTCCGCAATCCTCTTCGTCCGCGCCGACTGGACGATACTCGTACTCCCACCCCCCGACGCCGTGATACCTGTCCACCAGGATAAAAACAGTTTCATTCAGCTCATTCAATCCTCGCTCCAAAACACGTAAAAGAAACGAAACAAAAAAAAGAATAGATGGAGAAAGGGGAAAAAATAAAAGCAAATGAAAAGGCAATTTACCCTGAATGGGCCCCTCCCGCTTCCCGTCCGAGAAGCTCACCGAGCGCTGGTGAGATTTGCCGTTGAGCGGCGTCGTGTAGCGCGACCGGTTCGGGTTGCGCAGCGCGGATGTTGGCGTCGCACTGGTGCTCTTCAGCGCGGACTTGATGATCGGCGTCGTTGATCCGATCGAGTTCCCACGGCTCGGAGTGGCGAGCACTAGCGCCGAGGACGAGGCGATCGCGTTCGGGCTGGTGTGGAGGTTGGCGTTGGCTCTTGGTGACGCTGCTACAGTTGAGGGCAGAGGCGGGGCGAGGAACTGAGGAGTACCTCTCGCACCAGCGTGTGGGTGGCCACTGACATGCACGACGCTGTTATTCCTCGAGGGCGAGTCCTCGAACTCCGAGTCAAAGTTGATGTCCTTAATATCCTGCGGGCGCGTCACCGTATGAATGTCGTCCTCGTCGCCCGAGTCCGTCGTCTCGTCATCGTCGTACCCGTCCGTCTCGACGCCCGTCATCACATGCACGATGTGCGCCGAGACATCCGTCGAGAAGTTGGACAGCTCCATCTCCTCCTCGTCCTCCACCTCCGAGTGCTCTGAGATACGGCTCATCATCTCTGCTGGGCCAGGGCTCGTATCACGCAGCCTCTCGGTCTCTGACTCCTCTTCTTCGCCTTCCTCGCCTTCCACGTCACCCTCTTCTTCCTCTTCCTCCCCCCGTGAGTCAGAATCGCTCCGCAGGCTCTCAATATCTCCAAACGGATCCTCGCTCGACTCCGTCGCGTGCCCCGCCGTCTCCGGGTCCATTACAGCCCCCGCGGTGCTCTTCACCCACCGCATCATCACCTTGTCGAACAGCATGTCCCCGAATCTTTCTGGGAGCGGCGGGATGTCGCTCGGGGCGATGGTGCGTATATGCGCTGGCCCAGCGTGCTTGACGAACGACGGCGCACTGCCTGCAGTGATGGTCGTTCCGGACGCGGTGCTGGACGAGACGAAGCGATTAAGGTCTTCATTAGTTGTTAGCCGGATAGATGGATGTGAGGGAGGCGCCAGGTTCGGCCGAGCGGTCTGAGGGTGCTCGCGCTCTGGACGTGTATTAGCAGCCAATGAAGGATTTGGAGCAGGAGGTACTAGTGTAACATTGACGATAGCTTGCTGTTGTTGTGGTTGGTGTTGTTCATGAATGGAAATGCGTGATAAATTATGCACAAGATCGGATTCGTCTGCGAGATTTTTGTGGCTCCGCCTAGGGCTAGCTCGTGAGCGAGAGACGTTGGATTTAGATGAAGTTGAAGTTCGTCGAGAATGAGATTGTCGGAGGCTCTCCTTCGCGTCTGTGCCCAGCTTGACGCTTCCAGTGCGTGAAGAAAATGTGTTGGTTGTATCCTCGGGGAGGGCAGTGGCCTCAGAGTCTCCGGAAAACACACGTTTCTGGCTTTTTACAGCGCTCTTTATCTGTTCCATGAGAGCCGCGGCTTTCTGTCGATAAGACGAAGAGGAGTAAGGGCTTGGTTTTGTGGCGACGGTACCCGAAGATGCTGACGGGTTACTAGTTTGCTCAGGGACAGAGAGAAAGGACGGTCGGCGAGATGGTTCTGTCGGGGTTGTTAGTTTGTTCTCTTAGCAAATCTAGGAACTCCACGCACCAGATGGTGAAGCATTATGTTTGGAACGTCGTTCGTGAAATTTATTGTTCAGATCGCTACGGGTAGTAGATGGTGTGTCGTTCTTGGTCGATGGTGTTTGGTCCTGGCCACTCGCAACAGTTGAGATGGTGGAATAATCCCTCGCCTGCTTGATCTTCTGCATTAAGGAATGCGATTCTCCAACATAGTCCTTCCCGTAGAGCTTCGGACGAGTTATCGTCGCTCTCACACCAACTCCGTCCCCGCATAGGTCACTAGAAGGGCTGAGCTTGATACGCTTCGAGCTCCGGAGATGAGACACATTGTCCGCTGTGCCAGTCACTTCTGAGACACGCGACAGGCCATTGGTGAAGCTCGTCGGCGTTCCAGTCGTTCCAGTGCCCGAGGGGGTGTTCACAGCGATGGAGTCGACCAAGGCTGATAGATGCTCTCTTGTGTAGGTGTCGTATTGGAATTGGAAAAGGCGGAGGCGAGGGTCGGTTAGAGGAGCAGTGCTCGTCGGGGCGAAAGGTGGATTCGGAGTACTTTGGGCTTGAGGGTACACGGCGCCGCCAGCGCCACTCGTTCTTGATAAGGACTCTCGAGGCATAGCAAAAGTGAACTGACAGGCCATGCTCGCCTTCCGCCCATGGAAGGAGTTCATATTTGGCATGTCCGTCTCCATAATCTCATCCGACACTTGCTCAGGTTGGTTGTTGTTCGGGGTTGCCATTGAATGGGAAGGCGGGCTAGGATCCCAGGGTTTGGCTTCGGAGGTCGATGGTATGGGTGGTGAAGGCGGGTCGAACATTCGTTCCAGAGGCGTCGGGGTGAATATATTCTTCATAAGTCCTTTCTTATTTTGCCCTGGAGTCTTCGGCATGAGGTTGATGTGGGCAGCATCTTCGCGGACAAGAAAGGTGCCAACAGGCCGCGATCTGCTGGAGGCATGAGTGTGGTCTGCGTCGTAGTCGGCAGTGCTATGGATTTGTGTGCTGAGCGGGATGGTTAATGACACCGACTGGGTGCCATAAGACAGGTTGTTCGCCTCATTGTCGCCGCCGTCTTCTGGGTCGGAGTCTGGCCACTCGTCCTGTAGTTCGTCTGTCTGCCACGCTGGCGGCTTCTGCACTTGGGCGCTGGCCATTGGAGGGCGGGAAGGGGGAGGGAAAGGGAGAAAAGGTAACAATTGCTGAACGACTCGGCTGCCACACCGCCGTTGTTGAACGTGCCATCCACGTGATCGCGACTTACCATGGCTTGGCATGACCTTGATCAATAAACAAAGGCCGACGCCTTCCACTTTGGGGGCCGGGATCAGCCGCCACACTTTCTCAATCGATCACCACGACCCAAGCTGGTGCGCTCAGCTTCCTCAGCTCGTGCCGGTACCCACCCCCCGCGAGCTTCTGTGCACACGTCTGGACGTGTTTCCGATCCCTCCTTGGCTTTTCATCTTCCTTGTCACTTGCCTGACGATCCCAAGAGCCAAACTTAGTCTCGCTGACATGGACAGGTTGATCCACGATATGATTGTTCGGGCCTGAACTTGTCTCCGTTGTACTCGTCCTCCTCGTATCCTCCATAAGTCCCGCGATATCCTTAACTTGCTCCACGCAAGCTTTTGGTGGCAGAGGGCCGGTCATCATGATCGCCAACCGAGGACCTGATTACGAGACTATCGACGCCGTCGGTTTACCCTGCGTTCGTGCCCTGTATTCACTCGAGGGCCTGCTCATCGAAGCCATCTTTTAAACTAGGCTACTACTGCTTCCCGCCCTTTCTGATACTTTCGAGCTTGTCTTGTTAAGCACTGATGTTTCCTGCCCTTGCAACGGAGAGATAGATGGATTTTTTCTGCCACACCCGCTGGCGATGCTTACCTTGTCAAGTCACATAAACTAAGGCGAGTAACCGGCCTCGATCACGTTTTTATTTCTGGTTCGCACTGGCGAAGTCCTTTGCGGGATGCTGCGAGCCCTCGTGTGCTAGATTTTCCTTGGGCTTTCCTGAATCCACTACCTCATGCAGCTACTCGAGAGTCGAGTAGAGTAATTTATCCTTCTACGTTCAGAACTCCTCCTATCGACCTGAAATTTCCCGGAGTATCCTGTCCTGCATATCCAGGTACCTCGAACGTCGCTTCTTTTTCTCACTGAGATGCTTTCAGCAGGCAAAACTTGTAGATGCTCCATGTTTCCTCGTTTGATTGGGTTGCCTGCGAACTTGTTCGACAATCCGGGCAGCTCCATCGTCCAACCAAACCAGTCAACGAACCCTTTGTCTGTCCTTTGGCTCCACGAAGGAGCAAGCTTGTTTGCCCCATTGCATGCGGCCCATTTCCCGTTGTATCGATAAAGCGGCGAAGGCTTTATGTCCTTTTATCGATCTTCCTTTTATCGAATTGGCTGCTTTTCTTTCACACGGATATTCTGAGTTGGGTGAAGGCGTCCAATTGCGTGCTTTCTCTAGCGTAAGCCTCATAAGGGTCCTGCGAGTTCTCGGCGCGCCTTGCCTAACACTATATTTCTGGAAGTGCCGCGAAGTCCTTCGACGAGTCGCCGAAGATAATTTTGCCGTTTCAGAGCGAGCTATTGTCTCGCTCATCATCAATCCCCTCGTCGCAGAACACAAACAACCCGGGAGCTTTGACCTGCAGTCCAGAGGTCGGGAATTCAGACCCCCTCACAACCTCAGGGTGTCAAGATCGCTTTGACAGACACGCAAGGTACTTAAAAGCTCGGGACCACGCAACAGTTAGTCATTTTTGTCAATCCCGAGTCGCTCTCTCACTCGCCGTCATCTTGTAGACGACCAGCACAGCCCATCCTCCATAATTTGCCTCATTAACGCTGAAGGATTACAACTATCATTTATTGCGTCGATGAAGCATGTGCTCGCGAATATCTCGGGCGTCCACATACGCTCCCAGTATCGAGGGCGTCATTTCGAGGTCGGGCTTATCATGAACTCTCGCCGATCCCTGATGGTAGGAAGAGACACAGCCCTTCACACACTCGTCAGGACGCAGAAGCGTATCATCAATAGGTGACCGAGCATGCAGGCCAGACAAACCCAGTTGTGGGATGCGGGACTTGACTTATCTAACGGTAGCATCATTGTTCGAGCTAGTTTCTCTCACACATCATCAAAGATGACTGCAGGGGATGAGTTGGATGATAGCCTGGGAGTGTCGACAGATGAAAGATGGGGCACCGAGACAGTTTCCGCCTGGGAGCATATGGTTCTGGGACGTAATTCGCAGAGTGCGTTCGGATTTAAGGGCAGGAGAAGACCTCATGAAGTGCCAATGCACTTGATGATCAGCACGCAAGAACCAAATCTCCAAGCTTTGGCAAGCCCCAAGACTTTGAGTAACGAGGTCCAACGTGGGGGTTGGGATAATATGTAGTAAGGCCCAAGGATTGAGAAACTTGCTGAGTTGGTGAATATCCCAATATAAGTACGCCCAACATAGCCCTCAAGAGTCGAGAACAAGTGATAAGGATTGAATTCAGCTGATTGAAGGCTGAAGCTCGAGTTAGGATGAGGACGCCAAGCGCTCGGACTTTCCACTTTCAAGTATTAAGTACACCGCCCAACGAGGCGGCCCACCTCCACCCGTCGAGGAAGCAAGAGATTGCCTTCACCTTTGCACACGAAGATCTTAATTGCGATCACGGCGGTGAGCCGCTGCCCGAGGAACGATGAGAACTGAGAACTGCGTCCCACGAAATCGAAGCAGCAGCCGCATCACCCAAACGGGTCCGGACATCCTGGCACTGAGTGCCTCCGCGCACGACACTATTTGCCAGATCCCCAGCACTTTACATACTTAAGTAGTAGCTTACCGTTCAGTTACAGACTACAAATCCTACTGATCCGCCGAGAGAAGGCTGATGATCACGATTCACGATTTCCCGGCCGTCGTAGCTCCTCTGCAGTGCGAGTGATATGCAATCTGGAGATGGGATGGGAAAGCGCCAGGGGGGACTCGTCTGATTGCAAACTCAGTGCCACCAGAGCATTGGCGCGTGCTAAAAATAGCCACGCGGTCTGTGCCCGAAGCCCACTTCACACGGAACGCGCCAATTATTGCCTCGTTCATCCAGCCTAATCGTCTCATCATGATCTGGAGAAGGACAAAGTCAGCAATACGCAGGGTCCATAACAGAGTGAGTGTTTTCGACTTACTGGAGGACGCTCATATTCGACGAATCCATGGTGCTTCACACCCAAAGGTGAGGCCAACCTATGGCATGCTTCCTCTACCTTCCTTCCGCTTTGCCGTCTACTTTCATCTCCGTCGCTGCGGTTTTCGTAACGCCTCAAAAGAGTCGTTGACGGAGATTCTAATGATTTTGATTCTGGGGTCTACAATGCATGTGTGTCTTCTATGTATTCTATTGCGATGGGATGGGTAGGGCATGAGTGACATGATGATGTATAAATAATGGAACAAAGAGTTGAGAAGTGGTGACGATGCTGAAACGAAGAAAAAATGCTTGGGTGGATGAAGGAAACTTGGAAAATGGGAATGCAAGTGATGATGATGTGTGATGAGACGAATGAGGTTGCTTCCAATAGCGGATGGTATATTAGGGGAATATGAGAGGGCGTCGGCGGCTCTTGGGAATATTTTAGGGTCGTTGTGATACAGGTTTCGAGAGATGAGCATGGATCGAGAGGTGGTTGAGAAACAGAAAGAAAAAAGGGCGGTGCTTGCTGAAAATGATGCGCAAGCAGAACCTGCCGCCGTTAACGGAGGGGCGTCCACAATTCCGAAGGGGGCGTCACAGACAAGAATGAAAGCTGGCGAACCGCGACGCAGTCTTGTTCTCTATGCGGCCCAACAAGTGACGCCGGAATTCCAAAGCTCCGGCGTCTATGGGTGAGGATGACACGTCGTCCTCATAGCAATCGCTCTTCCCTGGAAGAATCCAGGGTGACGACGAGAAAGACGAGCGCCGCGGAGGAGGCGACAGGCGCCTGGTGGGCTTCTGCGGCTGATCGCAAACGGGCTGGTATTCATTTATCGGCGAAAATCCCGTAATTTTAGTGGTTGACTGCGTCCTAGGAACACCGCAATCATCGGGCCCAGGTACATGAGCGCTATCGTCGAAAACGTCGAAGATTGCAGCGCATATTTCCTTCCTACGGTGCTGGCGGCCGTGCGCTGTGATGGGGATGGCGTTCAGCTTTCGAGAAGGCATGACACCTTGACGCGCTGTCTTCGACCGCGGCCAAGTTCCACTAGAGGGAGGACATGGCCGGAAAACGGGCACGCTGTACATGAAGGGCTCGTTGGGGCTGGTGGCCAAGTCTTGCTCCGTCATTTTATTTGAAGGTGAGAGTGGCATAGGATACATGGTCGACAAGGAAGGGAAGGTGGGGGATATGGGCGACATCTCGAAGATGAGGTCGGGTGACATGGGTCCATCCATAGGTGAATTGAAAGAGGCTGGACCTGACCGACGGCACCTGGGTATCTCTATGGGGTTTGAGGGCTTACAGCGGAGGTGGTAGGAAATGCGTTCTGGACTGGTCGTCTTCTCTGCCGTAACACGAGGCTGTATAGAAATGCAATTTGCATATTAGAACAACGAGAGCTGGAGGCACTAACCATCGTCTAGAAGTGAATCAAACAACGGGATTGAATACACCCAGCCCAACGATCTAACGACCCGCGCTCCTGCCGTACCGAACGGTGACTAGTTGTGGCGTTTTACGTTTGGGACGCAATGAAGATCGACGACGAATCGAACTTCTCTGAGGGATCGTAGGGCCATAAGATGAGGGTCCTTCATTCAGACAAGCGGTGCGAACTCACAGCCCGTATGATGCCTTTGAAAGAACACAACTTGCTGCTACCACGCGGTGTGGGGGGCCGAACTTGGGCGTTACTGGAACTTGGGGAAACGGTGGGCGGGGGTCTAGCAAGGTGTGGGCAGTCTAGCGTTGAGCACTGGCGTCGTTGGCTGAGTCGAGAGGGCCGAGACAGTTGAATGATGTGGAAGGAGAAGAGACGACGGACTGCAGAAGCCCCTTCGGCTATAAATGCAGTTCGCAAGAATTTTAATTCCGTCATTATGGGGGCACACGGTCACGTGTTCTCGTGAAATTCGTGTTCTCGAGATCTCCGATGTTGTTTTATTCGTCGAACAATGACTCGTTTGTGAAACCCTGGCGACCTTGCCCTGAGGAATGTGTCAAAACGATGGATCCAGCACTATCTCGAGACAAGGGGAATGTGGGGAAATATTCGCTGAGCCTGAGGTGTTCCCACCTGAATTTCGCGCCCAAGGTCCCAAGGTAACCCTATGTGGGTCTGGGCTGTGACGGACGGGGAACTCGAAGTGTTCAGAAGAGGTCCGCGTTGGGCGTCTTTCGCAGCTGCACCGGAGCTGTTTCGAGCCCAGCCCTCGACCCCATCTGGCAGCGCAGTCCAGCCAGCCGAGCCGGATTTGTCCTGTGACGCGCCCAGTTATGATGTCATTCTTGCCCAATTGAAAGACAACGCCCCGCAGCCCACACCTCTCCCGCAATCCTCTGTCTCCTCCTACCATGTCCACCTATACTGTTAACGTACGTATCCCACGTTTAGCCTCGAATCGTTTGCCCACATAATCCCCGATGCTTCTAGGTATCTGGAATCGCCCCGAGCACAACCCAGTCTCAACTCAACGACTTCTTTACGTACGTGCCCAACCGCATCATCAGCTGCTACCCCCTCTAATTGGTTCATCTCCGACAGTTTCTGTGGAAAGTGAGCCCATCTTCTGACTCGTATCGAGGGTGCACCTAATGATCGCGACGCAGGATCGCTTCGATCAACTACAATGAGAAGGAGCACACTGCAGCTATTGCGTTTGAGAAACCCAACGCTGCGAAGACTGCGCTCATGGTATGTTTGTGACATCATCGGAGTGGTTAGTTTGCTGAAAATCATTATCCAGCTGAACGGAGGCGCTTTGGACGGTGCTAACCTCGCGGTGACCTCGGATGTTGTTCACCAAGATGAGGATCATCACCCCACTGCGACTGGCGAACGTCACATTGAACAGTCAGACAAGCCTAGGGCAGGCAGTAAGTTCACATTTCTGTCTCAGATTTATTTCCTGACTCCTCGTAGTTGCTGCCGAATATCTCGCTAAGGGATACGTTTTGTCGGAGCAGATTCTCCATCGCGCCATTGAGATAGATAGTGAGTCCCGTTCGACCCCGAAGTGAGCGACAACCCCTGACATAGATACAGCCAAACAAGGAATTTCGAAGCGCTTCCTAGATTACTTCCACTCTCTCGACAAATCTGTTGGAGAGCGTGCTTTGGGTCACGATCAAACGATTTCTAGCAAAGTCCAAGCAACAGTTGACCATGCAACGCAGCAAGCAAGAGCTGTTGACGAGCAGAAGGGTTACACCAAAGTCGCTCATGACGTGCGTCGCTGAATTTCGTCGCTTTTTCATGTTTACTCATTTTATTTTAGTATTACACGAAGGCTCTTGCCTCTCCCTTTGGTCAGAAGGTCGCGTCTTTCTACACCGACACCACTAAGCAGATTCGCGACATTCACGAAGAAGCTCGTCGTATTGCAGACCAGGAGAAAGCGAAGCATGAACAGGCATCTACTCCACCAGCAGGATCTGCTGCCGTTCCTGACCCGAAGACTGAAGCTGCGCCTACTGTTGTCTAGTCACAGCGCTTTCCTCACCGTTTGGATCATACAATACGGTTGATAAGGGGTAATCTTTGTACGGACAAATTTGTTCTCGCTACGACAATGTACTACATGCATTCTGATGCGATAGCTCGAATGGTAATGGGATGACTCTTTGTCCCCGCTTAAAGGGCTTCCTCGGAAGAGACCTCCATAATAGGCAATCCTCCTTCCAGAAATGTATGGCTCACGGACCTCCTAAACATGATGGTGCATGGCGAGTGGCTCACATGTATACAAATTCCTATGCTACGCCTCTAATCGATGGCGCCTCCTCTCGTCTCCTCTCAAGCCATTGGGAGATTCCCGTGACCTGGATGTCTATCAGATCTTGGCGGTTGGTCTGACACACTTCTTAGTCGTTCACGACACAAGTGTAAGTGGGCGCCTGCGTGATCTGTTAAAGACACTGTAACGACCTCCTTCAGTCCGCCCTTATGCTCGGAAGTCAAATCCGAGTACTGACATCCATTCGGCCGATACCGATATCAAAACGAAGGTATATAATAAAGGGTGTAACGATAAACAGGGCCAGCACGATCCACGATAGAATGGCATCAACGACGTCGAATGCTGAACAGAAGGACCAACCGGACTCGAAGGGCTGGTCGGCGACGCAGTATAGCCAGAAAGCATCGTTCGTCTACTCCGCCGAGTTCACCGCGCCTGTACTGGATCTATTAGGCGCCAAACCTGGAGAGAAGATCTTGGATATCGGATGCGGGAGTGGCGAGCTGACCCTCCAGCTCCAGCAGGTCATGGAACAGGCAGAAGGTGGCGTTGTTGTGGGCACTGATTTCAGCGAAAGCATGGTACGCGGCCTTATCATTTCTCTCCCTCGAGAGCCGATATGTTCACATTCGCAACCGCATGTAGCTGAAGAAGGCCAAGCAGATCGGCGTCAAGCACACTTTTATCGCAGACGCACAGGAACTGGAGCTGCCCAAGGACGACTCGGACATCCCGGAGCAATTTGATGCGGTGTTCAGCAATGCGACATTGCAGTGGTGCAAGCGTGATCCTCTCGGTGTCCTGACGCGCGTGCGGGGGGTTCTCAAGCCCCAAGGGAGATTCGTCGCTGATTTCAGTGGGTTTATGAGCATGATTGGTACGTCCGTGCTGGTTCGTTTGCATTTGAACCACGAGAGAGGGTTTGACCAATTGCGAATGTTTAATGCAACAGGGATTCGGGCGGCGTTGCATGAGGTTGTGCGATCGAGGGGGGGAGATCCAGAGAAGTGCGATCCTTGGTATTTCCCATCGGTAGACGAGTACCAGGCGGTAAGTCGAAACTTGGAAGCATCTGTCCAGAGTTGGGGTTTGCCTAATTGGATAATCTTTGAATATAGCTGCTAACCACTGCTGGTTTCGAGACGAAGCACATATCGCTAACTCCACGAATCACACCTCTGCCGAATGGCTTGTACGATTGGCTGAGCGTCTTCGCAAGGACTTCGTTCCTGCGCGAGTTTTCGGACGAAGAGGCCGCCCAGATAATGAAAGAGGTGGAAGATCGTTGTCGCGGAGATTGTCAAGACGTGAATGGGAAATGGGCCATGATCTCAGCGCGTCTGAGAGTTTCTGCCGTCTCGAAAGAGTGACGGTCTGACGGAGAGGCGGTGCGCTGTCGATTGGTGGAGCATATGCCTCTCTGTCAGCGTTTCTACGGTCTGGACTGCGTACGTACTGGGTGTCGAAGGCTTACAGAGATTGGCCGCAGAAGATGATGGTCCTCGAAATTAAGTGGGGTCTCTTCTCGGAGTCCTTCTGGTGTAATTCGGGGTATCCGGCCACCGAGCCATTTGAAATAAGGAGAGCACTACAGATACTTATCGCCACATAGGTTTTTGAGTTTGTTCGCACAGCGTGTCAGCGGGTGGCAGATGGAGGGAAGCAGACGGAGGAAGGGGTTGGTCGGACAATCTAAACTCAAAGCACTGAGCGGCAGCGGCCCGACGGCCAAATTGGAGGAGCACCAGACACACGTGCTCCTCACACGTGCTCCTCTCTCTTCTCGCGGTCACTAGCGTGCGCCGTCTTCGGTAACCGGTTCACGACGAGGCTGCATACGTGGAATGTAGATCCTTCCAAGCCTCACTATCCTCTTTTTCACCTGTTTTTGCTTTCTTCCATCTATTGTTGGCATGGCCAGTGTTCGCCGACGGAAAGGAAAGAATGTCGCGGAGAGGACCGCTGGGGTCAATGGTTCCGCGACCTCTCCTGCTCCTTCCTTCTCTCAAGAACCAGCCAAAGTTTCTGTTTCTCAGCTCGCACCGGCCATGCTGGATTTGTACTCTGTATGTTTGTTTCTGAACAGTGAGATCGGGTCTAAATGAACGTCTAGGCGCTTTCCATGGTCTTCGGAGGATGTTGCTCGTTCGTAGTCCCCATCTATGCTGCGATTACCGTTTCCTGATCATGAAATTCAACAGAAATGTGGTCTCATACGAACAGCTGCTGATAATGAATCCACGAATGGGTGCGTAATCTGTTAACTATCGAACCAACGCATTCTCATCCTTCTTCAGGTTCGGCGCTTACGTTCTCCCAGATGCTCTTCATCTCGCTACAGTCCCTACCGTCTTTCCTTCTCTTCTCCCGTTCTTCCACTCTTCCTCGGCTAAAGCCCCGACAAGTTCCCTTACGACAATGGGCCATGCAGGTCCTCGTTTTGACAGCTGGTTCCCTGCTGAATAACTGGGCCTTTGCATACAAAGTCCCTCTCACGATCCTCATCGTATTCCGTTCCGCAGGCAAGAATTTACGCTTTATTCCCGATCTACACTATGATAACATGAACCCAGGCCTTCCTGTCTCCATGATGTTTGGATATCTATTCCTGAAGAGGCGTTATAGCATGAGGCAATTTGTAAGGCCAAGCAAAGAATTTCTGTCTGCTTCTCCCATTGAAATTGAAATTTTATGTCTAGCTTGCTGTTATTATCGTGACTTCTGGTGTCATCTTGGCCACGCTATCCAGGACAGCTCCGTCACATAACGCCAAGGCCCCGAAGCCAATGTCAGCGGAAGAGTCGAGGAAATACTTCATCGGAATAGGCATGATGACCGTGTCGCTATTCTGTACTGGCCTGCTTGGCCTCATGCAAGAACGAACGTACAAGAAGTATGGACCCTGTTGGAAGGAGGGGGTTTTCTATACGGTATGCGATTAGTTGTTCGTTCTCTTCAGCAGGAATTAATGGTACCACGTTGTCCAGCACTTCCTTTCTCTCCCAGTATTTCTCTTCCTCGGCAAGGACATTAAGCAGGGACTGACAGGCCTAGCCAACATGTCAACGACTTCTCCAACCAAATCATTCGCGATCCTACTAGGAAACCTTTTTACGCAGCTAATCTGCGTCTCGGGCGTGAACCGACTATCCTCGGTGGGTATCCTCCCTCTTCTCTGCCCGTTGTGTCACTCATCGGTTTTGCAGCAAGTTTCATCTGTGTCGACCAACATTGCACTAACAGCCCGCAAAGCCATCAGCCTATGCTTCAGTGTATGGTGGTTCGGGAACGATTGGAACGGCCAGCTTGCAGCTGGCGCTTTCATGGTGTTCTTCGGCAGTCTCCTCTATGCAATCTAGACGTGACCTGTAGAATTTATGCTCGCTCTTCCATCCGTCTCAAACACATACAACAGCCTATTCTCTAGAACAAAGGACGATGTATTTAGCATGAAAAGTACAATAGAGCAGACAACAGGATGCAATGGTATAAATACAACAGTGATCTTGGTAACAAATCAGAAAATCTATGCAGTAGCGGCTTCGGGTCTGAAATGCATCGTCTGGTCATTCGCCATTGACTTCTTCGGAGAGACGGGCGACATGGAGTTTGATGATGGGTTGAAGTCAATGTCTGACCGTATGTCCTTGCGGATGTGCAGTTGCAAGCTACCGCCGGAGGTGTGAAATGATGATAGCTGCAGAGAAAGACGTGAATGTATGTTCGATTGTATGTAAATCGTAGAAAAACGGGTGTACCGAAACATCTGTCTGGTTCAGGATTCCTCGGAGACCTTCGCGGCATAGCAGCGTATCCATCAGTGTCTGCAACGGCGTCAGTCTGTTCCAACCATAGAAATACGAATCAGGGCTCGTACGTTGGTGTACAAACGAGCGATGGGCAACCCAAAGAGAGCAAAGAACTGCGTTTCCGGTCTTGCAAGGAAAAAAGTGAGGGCGAGCATAGAGAAGATCCCGCTGAACAGGCCTGCACCGGGGTTCAATGAAGCTTCTGCGTATAGGGGCCGTCGGTGAAGGGTAACGTACCTGTCTGGACGGATGTCCGCATGAGCCTGTTGATGACGGTGTCGGACCTCTGGAATCCCGTGCGCGATCGCGCGAGGGCCCATATGAGGGTTCCTAAAAGGAACTCTGGGGTTAGGCGGTGTGCTCATGTATTTCAGGAGAAGGGATAAGCACCGGAGATCAGCACGTCTACTGCGAGCTCGAGCGACAGCCACGAAATCATGAGAGAGTTGATCATGACCATGTCGGCCTCGCTAGAAGGGGTCTGGGTGAGGAGGGCGTTCAACGAACGTGGTATGGAGTTTGCTTACCGTTTGACCCACAGGTACGCCCTGACGCCGCACCCCATTCCTGTTCCGAACGATCCAAATGATAATAGTAGGAGCGGAATGTAGACAAATCTATTGGTTAGGCGCACAGTCCTGGAAAAGAGGAGCGGAGTAGGCGATTGGTCAGGCCAGGGGGTCGGGCAAAGACGGCGTCTCACCTGTAAATCAGGAACACATGCGTCAGGAGAGCTGTGGCCACTGTAATGAAGATGGTCGAAGGATACGGCCACACAGGATCTGAAAGAGGACAACGTTTGAACTTATGACGCGACATAACGAAAGGCGACTACACGCACCCATGAGAGCCAAAAAATTCCCGAAACTCTTGACTCTGGATATGAACTTCGTCAGATATCAGAATGGCCTCCCAGCGCATGCTGCTCCTACAGATAGTACCACGCCATGTAGATTAACCTGATAATACGATAGGCATGAGAAGAGCCTCGGTTGGTTTGAAAAGTGGACTCACGAGGCGCTGTGGAAAGTGTCTAGGGAGAAGAGGGCTAGCACAGTCAATCTTCAAATCTCGCGGTCAAAAATCGGCCACGAGCGCAGCTGCGGGTTCAACATACTTGATCCATAGAGGGTCTTTAAACTCTGTTGCGTTTCGTTAGTCGAATAGCCCATCTGTGAGGAAAGGAGGACGCACTCGTGTTAAAGTAGGCAGAATATTGATAAGTGACGATGCCATATAAGTATGTGTTCACTGCACATTCCAAACCCTCCTTCAGCCATTATAGAACCAGCAGCCGTACAAACCCTTACGGAAAATCCCCAATGCCATGGGTCCTATAGTAGGGAGAAATATCAGATAAGGACTTTTTATTGGAACTGACAAAGAACTCACCCAAAGTTACCTCGAGAATCGACATGGCGGGCGTCGGGTCGAAAGAGGGGACGTGAAAGGGGCGCGAAAGGGGGGTGGATGGCGAGCAGCGAACGCCCCGCCCCGAAAGCATCCCGACTTTATTGCATTTCCCCTCGAGCCGACGCCAGGCAACCGAGGGCTCGCGATCGGCCGCCAAGCCGTACGCCACCCCGAAAGCGGTATCGACGGGGCCACTTCCCAGCATTTCGCCCGTCCGAAGCAAACAAATGGCGATTTGTCAATATTCGGGCTCGCACACGTGAGAGAGGTCTGATCAGGTGCAGCGTGAATATCGAATATTCAATCATTTGGCTATCTATCAGATCATAAATGGTTCTCGTCGGATCCGAAGGGGTCATGATATCAGATAAAATGCGTTTGGTTGCGTCGATTGGAGGGGCGGAAGAGGACGGAAGAGGCGGGAAAGGTGACAACAATTATTCGTCATTTGTCAGGGACTCGTGTGGCAACGTTCGCTGAGATGCGAAGATGGCGAGTAGGGATGAACCTGACCTATATTACCTCCACGGACGCGCGCCACGGTCGTGCCAGAGGGCGAAGAAGAAGCGGGAATCAACAGTCGGCATTTAAAGTCGGATAACGGTGAAAGGATTGAGTTAAACTTTTCGGTGGATGAAACTGTGGACGGGTATGAAATACGAACACCAAGTGCAAGGTGCAGTATGCTCAGGCGATACGCTACAATCTTGCAGAGAAATGGCCTAAAGAAATGCATTAGACGCGGTAGTGTTGACCTCCGTGCAGGTGGAAGAACACCTAGACAGGGTCTGCAACAGGGCTTGGATGGACCTAAACGACGCGGCCTGACAGACAGAAGAAAACTGGTGAAGAAGGGGCCAGGGCACAACTTGCGGTGATGACCAGGACAGACCATCTTGAGTCGAGGTCGTTTCTTCCGGGGCCTAAAAGGAGCAAGAAGCTATCCTTGAAATCTTCCTGAAGCTGACTTGTTGGAAAATAACAGAAGACCATCTTTAAGAGAGTGAGTCGTCATGAAATCCTTGCCGTGTAACAGTGTTGATCATCGCGAAATTGCCGAAGCTGAGCAGTAAGAGAGGATTGCAATATGACGAGACTAACTGGATACGAGAGGATAATCGAACGTTGAGATATCCTAGGCTTCAGCAGGCGGAACAAAGATGCGGCGACTAGAGGTTCATCGCAGCTATGGTGTTGATATATCGAGAAGTACTGAGGCGTGCGGGGGTAAGTAGGGATAAGCAAGGCCACCAATCAAATAGCTCGTGGAAAATTGCGTACCCAGATTGAGTCTGGACACCCTCTGCTTCCTTCCGCCATGTAGCGCTTGAGTTAGAGCAAACGCGCGAAGCTCTTATCCTCTTCTCGCAGGAAGGGCCACTCCCAGGTGGTACTTTGCTCGTCGGCTACAGTTTCGTGTCCACTGTCAACTGAACGTTCGACTGGTAGAATTTCTTGGAGTTGGTCGTATGACCAGGGTAGCGAAGCCATTGGAGTGTCAAAAGAGTCAAGAGTCAACCCGAAGGAGTGTTTGTTGTGTTACATATCTTCTGAGTTCTCACTCTTAGCCGGTGTTCGGGATAAATACCAAGACTAATAAGTGCAGCTTCCATGTCGAAAGCTAATTTTCAAATTCGCACTTATACCCTTCACCTCCACGAGCAGTTGGCCTGTCTTCGCCAAAGGTGCTCTTCTCCGCCCTGTGCTACGTATGGCTGAAACGCCGATTCATGGCCACGCTCAAGTGAACGACTTCCCATCCGCGTCGACGACAGAACGCACTCCATTACTCGCGGACTCGCAGGGGCCAGGAGGCGTATATACGACCTCAAGCAGATCCGCAACACGATCAAGACGTGGCAAGCAAATCCAGCGCAAGAGACGTATCTCTGCAGAGGGCTCGTCTCCTAGTCGCAGCTTCAGGAGCGACAGGGAGGACCTAGAGGTTCAGAGATGTGATCACCAATGCTGCTCGTCTGCTCAGCGTCGACGTTCTCCTTCTTCCACGGAGTCAGGCGGCTACCCTGCTCCCGACACATCATCTGCTGAATCCATGCAAAGTCCAACAGAAGCCACAACCAGAAAAACCCTGCACGGCTCACACGACTCGCTTCTCCTCGGCCTCACTAACGATGCACCTTTATCAGCGTTGGACCGACCTGGGATCCTGTCTTCAATCATTCAGAGCGTATCGTTACGGCTGGAAAACTCAGGCAGTGTTGCTCGCGATCACCTAGCATCCGAGCGAACTTTTTTGGCATACATGCGTACGAGTCTGGCCATTGTTTCTTCGGGGGTCGGTGAGTACCTTTCGCTCTGTCCTATCACCGATGTTCTCCGCGCTTGAAGGCATCTTCCGTTCATTTCTCATGCCTACGGGATGAAATCTGACCGACTTCATTTGTTTTTGCCTCTATTTATAGCTTTAGTACAGCTCTTCTCTGCGGGTTCCGCTTCCACTCCTCAAGGATCTATGCACAGGCTCCATACATACATTCGGCCCCTTGGTGCTTCAACAGTTATCATTGGTCTTTTCATTCTGTTCGTCGGTAAGTGCTCATGGTAGTCTTCTTTGATTGTCCTTCCTGAGACGTCCACGGGCCTTCCCAGGATCGATGAGATACTTCACAGTTCAGGCCGCTTTGACTAAGGGATATTTCCCGGTCACCCGCATTGCGACGGGATTAATTGCATTCATGCTTGCTACTCTCATCACTCTTACATTTGGAATTCTTCTTGCTGGTAAATTGGAGGCAAAGGGAAAGGTTCCACGAGGCTGAAAGTTACATGTTCCATATTGGTTTGGACTTTAGAGATTCGAAGTGCTTTTCGAATTCTCATCTCTTCGTCATCTTCAATTTATGATATGAAACGACTTGGGTACGCCATGTACCGTATAATGAACCACTTTATTCCAGAGCACCATACACCTGAAGCCCCTAACTTAATTACTGCACAACGGCCCGGTATACCCGCTAGTCCTCACGTGAGATGTAGGACGCGACCCCAAGACTTAGACTAAGTGCAATTGCCCGCGTCTCCAGTGCTCTCACTCTTACTCTGCTCTTACTTAACTCGTTCTTCTCATTCTATCAACAGTGACTGGCCTCTCATTTCACATATACCGTCTATTGCTCACCCAACAGCGCCTAAACACGAAGATGCCTTCAGAACGCCGAACGAAGACAGCGAAAGCTAAGCAATCACTCCAACGGAAACCTACGCCTTCCAAAACTGCTTTTAACTGGCAGGTGATTTCCGACGAATGTATCCTCCATCCTGACGTTAAGGAGGTGTTCTAGGTCCTGACTTTGGGCGTTGTGCTGTCAATCTTGACCGCCCTATACTATTCGCACTGGAGCGGAATCTTGAACGTCTTGTCTCAGTCTCCTCAATCTATTCCATCTCAGAAGGATGCTCCAATTATGCGGGATGAAGTGTTTCACGTTGTGGATATACCAGGGAAGGGTAAAGGAGCACTGGCAGCCCGCGATATTAAGGTGAGTGCTGCCTGTAGTTCTGTCACTAGGAACTCCGTTTTGACTACGTCAATCCCAGCAAGGAGAGCTCATCCTTCGAGAGAAGCCTCTCTTTGTTGTTCCTCGCAACAGTGAGCTTATTCCAACCTCTTGTCATGCATTCCGTCCCTTACGACTCATCCGTCGCGCAGTAAACGCGTCTCCGCCGAAGTTCATCTACGGCGAACTTCACAAGCTACCACCTGAAGGACAGCAGGCTTTCCTGAACCTCTCATACGTCAACTTTCCGCAAGGGCTGGACCCAGAAGACCACCCTGAAGAAGTCGCGCTTGCTACGTTCCAAACGAATGCAGTGTCGGCTGGAGAGAATGTTGGCCTCTTCCCGCGGATGGCGCGTATAAATCATGGCTGTTCTAGCGCTTTCAACGTTGTGTATAATTGGAGAGAGTGGGAGGGACAGTTGGTTGTGCACGCGTTGAAAGATATACCCAAAGGGAAGGTATGAGTGTTTAGGTGATGTGAAACACGTCGTACTCATCGACTATACGCACACAGGAGCTGTTGGCAACTTATACCAACACCAAACGACCTCGAGACGAACGCAGGTATGGCGTCAAACATTTTCCCAGTTGTTCTTGTCAACTTCAAAAATTTTAGAGCATTTCTCAGCCAACAATACGGCTTCCATTGCACTTGTGATGTCTGTTCCTTAACCAGCGACCTCTCTCGAGCGTCAGACGCACGATTAACTGAAATTTCTCGTCTGTATGACGAATTCGCGGCTTGGGGGTCAGATATCATCGACGGTGCCCAGGCAATCGAATTTATACGCAAGATATGGAAAATAGAAGATGAAGAAGGTTACTGGAGTGAGAGAGGTCAGCTTGCTGCTGACGCTGCTTGGGTGGCAGCTTCACATTCTGAGTACGTGGATGAACACTTTTTGCGTGCCAAGAACCGAGAGGAGCGGTCAGCATTGATGACAAGATAGCTGACTTCTTTCGGCCCATAGTGCGACGGCCACGCAAGCGTGGGCACGAAGAGCTGGAGAATGGTTCTCTTATGAGATTGGGGCAGACACACCCCAAGTGATGGAGATGAGCATGTTTGCATCGCGCCCAGAGTCCCATAAGGCGTGGGGTACAAAGCGGAGACAGAATGTTGGAGGGCCAGATCGGTCGAGAGGCGAGTAGAGTCTTTTCGACGATGGTCTTCAGCGATTGAGGCGCCCGTCACCGCCCGTGGACTTATATATATATTCGCTAGGATAAGGCTTATTCTGTTGGGTAACGTCAGCCCATGTCACCTTTCGTCCTTTCGCCTCAAAAATATGGCGCCATTTACGTAAATCCTACAAGTTTTGAAGGTTGGCATCAGACCATCGGTCGATTCGGGCCTGCCAGGTCAGATGAATTGACAAGAAAGTCAACGCTCCTCAAGCGTCCGTTCTTCGTCGGACCTGTTTTGTAGTTCTCTGCTCGCACACTTCAAATCGGAATTCACATGAACAGACGTCAGGACTGGCAGTGGACGCTCCTGTTGAGTGAAAATGCTAGATGCTTCCGCCTGTGCGCTGGTGTCGCAGCACAGTTAGCTGTGATAGCCCCGTACGATTTACAAGCGCAGATAAACATCGGCATCGGAAACGACACCATCGGAGGAAAGGACCAGAGTGTAGCTTTTGCTTGGGATCCCCGTCAATTGTTATTGTTTGAGATAGTGGATAGAGAATATCCATCGAATTTTGAAAGAAAGCAGAGAGGCATACAGGGGATGGAATGAACGACGAAGGTGTGAGCATAAGGAAACGAAGAGAAGAGGAGCGAAGAGTGGGGAAGCGGAGTGTGGATAGAGTTAACCAGCAAGAAATGAATAGAACCCGGGTCGCCAAACAGCCGATGCAGCAGCACCGCTTTGGCTCCGAGTAAGCCACGTCCCTCTTCCTCAAATACCACCATCACCTTCCTCCGCTTTTCTCTTTCCCTCTTCAAACGAGACGAGCTACGTCAACCAATCCTTCTGCTAGTCTTGTGGACGCAAGCTAGGCAGTGTCCCCATTGGTATTGTTCTCCTGCCTCTCATTCACAATGAACCCCGATCCCAATCGTACCGCATTTTCTTCAGTCGTTTCCCTTCCCCTGGCCACGACCGTCATGGCCTCCTCCTCCTCAGACGCCGTCATCCTAGCGGTTGGCGTCGTTCTCGCCGCTCTCTACCTCTTCCGTGACCAGCTGTTTGCTGCGTCAAAACCCAAAGGTGCTCCAATCGCTGCCTCCAAGGCCGCCAATGGTTCAGGAAATCCTCGCGACTTCATCGCCAAGATGAAGGAAGGGGTGCGTTCCGTAATTCCTCTCTCCAAGCTCATGATGCTCATCCCACGTCATCACATCCTTAGAAAAAGCGTCTTGTGATCTTCTACGGCTCGCAAACGGGTACCGCGGAGGAGTACGCTATTCGTCTCGCCAAGGAAGCAAAGCAGAAGTTTGGCCTCACATCGCTTGTCTGCGATCCCGAGGAGTACGACTTCGACAACCTGGACCAACTACCGGAAGACTGTGCAGCTTTCTTCGTTATGGCGACTTACGGCGAGGGTGAACCCACGGACAACGCTGTTCAGCTCATGCAGAATCTCCAGGATGATTCCTTCGATTTCAGCAACGGCGAACACAAACTAGAGGGCCTCAAGTACGTCATTTTCGGCCTCGGAAACAGGACATACGAGCACTACAACCTTATTGGACGCAATGTTGATGCGGCATTGACTAAAATGGGTGCCGTTCGGATTGGTGAACGTGGCGAAGGCGACGACGACAAGAGCATGGAAGAGGACTACCTTGAATGGAAGGACGGCATGTGGGAGGCATTTGCTACTGCCATGGGCGTTGAGGAAGGTCAAGGTGGCGATTCGGCCGATTTCGTTGTTTCAGAACTAGAATCGCACCCTACGGAGAAAGTCTACCTGGGTACGTTACCTTGCATTTTCTGTCTGATTGCGCCGCCCATCAACATCCTTATCACCAGGTGAATACTCCGCCCGTGCCCTTACTAAGACCAAGGGTATTCATGACGCCAAAAATCCCTACCCGGCTCCGATTACAGTCGCCCGCGAACTTTTCGAGAAAACCGCGGACCGCAATTGCGTCCATATCGAATTTAATACTGAGGGCTCTGGTATCACGTATCAGCACGGCGATCACGTCGGACTATGGCCCTTGAACCCAGACGCGGAGGTTGAGCGTCTCTTATGCGTTTTGGGGTTGCATGACAAGCGAGACACTGTTATCGGCATCGAATCCCTCGACCCTGCCCTCGCCAAGGTTCCTTTCCCCGTCCCCACTACTTATGGCACTGTCCTTCGCCACTACCTCGACATCAGCGCTGTTGCCGGTCGCCAGATTCTCGGGACTTTGTCCAAGTTCGCCCCTACTCCTGAGGCAGAGGCTTACCTCAAGAAGTTGAACACCGACAAGGAACTTTACGCCAAAATTGTCCATGACGGCTGCCTCAAACTTGGTGAAGTCCTCCAACTCGCTGCCGGCAACAACATCAAGGCTCTCCCGACGCCGGAAAATACATCGGCTTGGTCTATCCCCTTCGACATCATCGTTTCGGCGATCCCTCGTCTTCAGCCTCGGTATTATTCCATTTCCTCGAGCCCTAAGCTCCACCCCAACAGCGTCCACGCCACTGCCGTCGTCCTCAAGTACGAGAACCAGCCTCGTGAGCACGTTCCCCACAAGTGGGTCTATGGCGTCGGGTCCAACTTCCTGCTCAACCTCAAGCATGCCCACAACAACGAGCCTGTCCCTCTCGTCAGTGAAGACGGTGAAGAACGTGTTGTTGTCCCCGCATACCTCATCGAAGGTCCTCGTGGCGCATACAAGACGGAAACTCACTACAAAGCTCCTATTCATATCAGGCGTTCGACGTTCAGGCTCCCAACCAACCCGAAGAGCCCGGTCATCATGATCGGTCCTGGAACTGTAAGTGGCGTTTTTAGTCGTCTTTAGGTCGTCGATTGACTTTTCCCTAGGGTGTGGCTCCATTCCGTGGCTTCATCCAAGAGCGTGTTGCTCTCGCCCGCCGATCGCTCGAGAAGAATGGACCAGACGCTCTCGCTGACTGGGGACGGATATCACTCTTCTACGGCTGCCGCAAATCGACCGAGGACTTCCTGTACAAGGATGAATGGCCACATTACGAGGAGGAGCTCAAGGGCAAGTTCAAGATTCACACTGCCTTCTCTCGCGAGAACTTCAAGCCGGACGGCAGCAAGATCTATGTGCAGGACCTGATCTGGGAAGACCGGGAGAACATCGCTGACGCCATCCTGAACGGCAAGGGATACGTGTATATCTGCGGTGACGCTAAGAGCATGAGCAAGCAAGTCGAGGAGATTCTAGCGAAGATCCTCGGTGAGGCTAAGGGTGGTTCGGCTGCCGTCGAGGGCACTGCTGAGATCAAGCTCCTGAAGGAGAGGTCAAGGCTTATGCTGGATGTGTGGAGTTAAACGACGAGGGTCACGGAGACATAGAGTAATGACTTTATAAACGACTCACTAATATTGCGGATGCCTGGATGGGCAACGTCTCCGTGGTCGTTCCTTCACGATTTCAGTATATACACTCATTATATTCTATGCCGCCCATCAATTGGATTTTTAGAGGTTCTCCACTCCATGATCCTTGTGAGATCCGTGAATTATCTGATAATCTGGGCGTCAATTATATGTAGCAGTCCGAAAATGGGCAGGCGACCGCACCGGAGTTTCCCGCTCAGGATGGTGACGCTCCTTCCTTTTCCTATGTTGAGGACGTTCTTGTCAAGACCTCTGCTACTTCGTACGTTCTCTACGTCGTCTTCGGCATGTATCCCACAACGACCTTCAGTCCATGATGCACAATCCAAGGAAGAGCCATCGACGCCCGAGCGTCCAAATGCCGGGCTTGCAACAGAATCGCGGACAGAAAGTCCACTAGTGTCCGACATCCTGAAAGCTAGACTCCCTGGCTCTCAAGAACGAGAGCCTCTTTCATCATACGACCTAGACCTTGTCAAGAAACGCATTCGTGAATGGACGGAACAGGCTTCCATTGCTATCCGTAATCGAGCGGATGACTTCACGGTGAATACAAAGACGACATTTTCTCAGCTTGGGGCGCATCTCAACAAGGTGACGGGCTATGAAGAGATAGAAGCTTTGAAGCGGGGTGTTGTCGAGCAAGGTACGCTAGATCATACGTTGAATCACCCGTTCATGATCTTAATTTGAAGTCGTCTCACAGAGGAACGTATTAACGCGGTCAGACAGGCGGCGCGGAAGGCCAAAAGTGCATATGAAGAGGCTGTCGTCCAGCGCTCCAACTCACAGCGTGAAGTGAACGATCTTCTCCAGCGGAAATCAATGTGGACCGACGGCGATGTCGGCCGGTTCACGTCGCTCGTCAGGCAGGACCACCTATACGAGCAGGAGGAGGCGCGAGCGAAAGCAGCCGTCGACGAGACTGAAGATGCGGTGGAGAAGGAATTCAGCCGGCTCATGCGCACGATTCTCGCCCGCTACCACGAAGAGCAAGTCTGGTCTGACAAGATTCGGAGCGCGTCGACGTATGGTTCACTGGCGGCGCTTGGGCTCAACCTGTTCGTCTTCATCCTGGCGATCGTCATTGTCGAGCCATGGAAGCGACGGCGTCTAGCACAGACGTTCGAGCGGAAGATAGAGGAGCTTAGCGAGGAGAACGGGGCACGGCTGGACGCAAGTATGAAGAGCATCGGCAGTCAAATCGTCAGGCAGGAAGCCCTTCTTGAAGATCTCAAGGGCGAGCTCTCGAAGCAGCTCGCGCTGCTATCAGTCTCCGACGCGGCACATACTGTAAACGGGAAGGGTAACGGGACCCTCGATGAGCCATCAATGGGTGAAGAGGTGGAAAGCGTGCAGCCTGGCGCAGACACTGCGACAGGGGAGTCGAGACCTTCAAGACGGCAGCTGGAGATCGCAGCTGTAGGAGCCGCGGCGTTTGTGGCAGGCATTCTAAGTAGTCTAGTATTTAATCGATAATACAAGGATTATACATTTGTGCTTCTGTATATGCGACAGTGCACTCTGTCCAGAAGGCCGTGAGGAGTCATTCCACGAGACGTAGATGGTGAACAGACCTATCATACAAAAACTCGCCGGTTGGTGTTGCCATCTCGCATTCTGTCCACTTTGCTGCATCCCATTTCCGCCAGCCCCACCCTTCTTTTATCTGAATAGTTGTCGGCCCATCAGTCGGACAGAAGGGGATCACTCATACCTCTGGTCTTTTATGAGGAGCCAATACGACCAACCAGCATGCTTTCAAGCTCAGCTGCGACAGGAGAGCGAACAGGCCAGAAGGGTTTTCAATCAGATGAAGTGCAAAGGAGCAAACCACCATCTCTATTTGACATCTCGCCTCTTCTGTGTCTTCATCGCCACCGCCTTCTGATTTCTTGCATTCCAGAACTACGCCAGTTGAGATGTCGATAGACGTGGAGGGAAGTGAGCCCTCTGCAACCTCCTCGAAGGAGAGCTCTGCGCATGGGTACGAGGTGCGCTCTTTGTATGCCGCAGATGTGAACTGGAATGAGAGTCAGACTCTATGATTTGCACATGCTGGACTATGCGTACTGGGTCTGAGGCTGTGATACTCGGTCTAGGAAAACTCAAATCTACGGGGACAGGCACAATTACACCTTTCCTTCGCGGTATAACCGGTGGTAGTTGTGAAGTCCTGTCGTCTTTTACTTTGTGGCATTCTTGATAGAGTTTCTTGCCCGTGTTGCACCACTCAATGAAGGCTAGTGTAGCCTCACCACTTGAAGAAAAACGTGGTTGAGTTGATGCAAAAAGTCAGACCGAACGTCTTACCTGCCTGGCGAAACCTTCAGTCTTCATGTCTATATCTCAAGCAATGAAACTGACCACAGGCCATATCGAAGAGCATAATATGATCAGGTGTTATTCTTGAAATCCTTTCCTGTTCCATTTGCCACCATCTAAACTTGCGTTCATGGAACAGGCGACCAAGCTAGAGGATAGACACACTTGTTCAGCCAGGCGAAAAGGCACAGACGAATTCCTGGGAAGTGTGGGTTGCGGTAGGTGTTACCAACTTTGACATAATACTGCAAAAAAAGAAGATTGTTTTGACGCTGAAGGGAATTGCCTGGAAAGACTCGCCTCAGCTACTCCGTGCTCGTAATTCTCCCGCATCGATGACGAAAGGTTCCCGCTCACAGCGACTCTATCCCCACGAGACATCGCGTCTGTATGGTTTGGATCTGGATAGGACGCAGGTGGAAGTTGAACGTTGAAGTAATTGGCGGGCTGTCTGACTCTGAGCACCAAACTCGACCGGACAATGCCGTCACGCCTTTACTCACCACCATTCCCCTGTCCAATGATTTCTTCTCTCGACCGCCGACGTCGCAGTTTTTGCTCCAAGTATCCCTCGACTCTGACATTTCGATGACCTCTTTCATTATCAAGTCGCATGAAGGCCGTCCTCTGCACCGTAAATGGACCCCCGATCCTGAATGCACGTTTTGTCGTATTATAAAACGCGAGCTGCCTGCATCGATCGTGTATGAAGACGAGAAGGTTATTGCGATTCTAGGTGAGAGTATAGGCCCTGCTCGGAAAACGACCCCTTAAAACTACGTTCCGATAGATATCTTACCCTTGAGGAAGGGCCATACGCTCGTCATTCCCAAACCACACATACCTCGTCTATCGGACCTTCCACTCGAAATTTCCTCCGCCGTAGGAGAGGCGGTATCCAAAGTTGCTCATGCTTTAACACTCGGCTCGTCATTCTGCGCGACCGTTAAACTGGTTGCTGATATGCGCATCTTCTCTAGCACTCGGGAACACTGGTCTCAACGTCGTCTGCAACCAGGAATACGCGCAAGCGGTCCCCCATGTGAGATAAAGTTTTTATGTGGTTGAAGCCTCTCCTTATTCTTCTACCAGGTGCATTACCACATTATTCCGGCCCCGAAATTTGGGTCAAGCCAGATGGCTGAAGCAGCGAACGACAGGACAGACGACAAGGCTCCTTTAACACATCTTGAGATGCACCAGAAGGAGTTCGAGGCTCGAGAAGAGCTCGACGAGGATGATGCTAAAATTCTCGTGCAAAAGATCCGGGCTCGTTTGTAGAGGCCTGCCTTGGAATACAAGGAGGTGATACCATCGACCCCCCGAGTGCTGGTGTCGTTATCAGTGGTATACTTTGAATAGTCTTATTACCGTAAGCTCGCAAGACCATTGGTTTCTCCACTCCTGCTCCCTTACTCAACAACCATTCCGAGAGGGTCTTCAGGCTTGGGCCGCTTGGTTGGCGTTAATCTTGGGTTCGGTGTTTTCGATTAGGCAAGGGATAACTTGAAGCCTATTGTTGAAAGTAGATATTCAAGTAGATTTTCCTCTCAATCAAGTCGTGTCTGCGCTTTCGCGGGGATATCCACTAGCGAATAATTTTTACACCTGCAGCCAGATTTCCGAACCCGTGCGACGTCTTGGACCAATCTAATCCTTTCTGATGAAACGATGGATTGGTGGTTAGACTATCACAACGGTAAGAAGCTGGTTTGCCTCCCAGTATGCTTGCATACGGGCCGGTATGCCTGGACACTTGTGGCCAGGTCTTAGTCTATGTTGCGATAACCCATTCGAAAAAAAATTCACTCTCCGCCGAAATTTGCATGTGAGTGGGTTTAACTCCATTTGAGGAGAAATTCATTCTCCGCCGGCGTTTTGCGTCTGTCCTCGACAACTTGAACTATGAGGGACCATGGATTGTACAGAGTGAGATTGTGGTGGAGTATCCCTATTGAGGGAAATACTGGACAACTATTATTCAACTAAGTAACCCATGTACTCGCTGCCATCAAAAGTGATTTCGGCTATTATTTTGGCCACAGCTCAGGACTTTGTCAACATGCTTCAAGTATTATTTTATATTCTTAACATACTCATAGGCTACACTTTCAAGGTGCTTAGAGATTAGCAAAACCTTGTTGAGATCATTAAAAACAACATTTTCACCAAAATGCATGAAGCACAGCACCTGAGGAAAAAATCCTCTGACCTTCATTATTTTATGAGGGGTACTTCTAAGTCACTAATAATCCAAACAAGTTTAATTCTGTTCAATAGTCAAGTCATTCCTAAGATATAAATGCCAAAACATGGCCATTTTCCGCATTTTTAGGGGTTTTTACATGAATTACCTCAACTTGCTGGCCTCATATCCCCTTAACCATGTCTTTGATCTTTTTCATTTTAGCTTTTATATACTCTCCCTAAGTATATCTACATATACATGCATCTTATAGATTTTTTACGACCTTCCTTGAAGATGTGAAAAAATTGCCCAAGCATAAATTTCGCATTTTCTCACCTCTGGGATGGACATCCTGCATTCTGAGAGCACTATTATACTAGCCTAGTACATTTGAGATATGGAGAATATTTTCATGATCCAGTGCTAACCCGAACCATGAGAACCCCAGGCCGAAATCACTTTTGGTGGCAATGAGTATAGAATAATTGGCAGTGAGTCTACTAGAGGGAAAGACAAGTTAGCTACTGGCAGAAATAGGTCCAGTTCAATTATCAGAGTACATGGTCAAAGGAAAAAATAGATCAGAAGAACTTGAAGCTCATCCTGTAACCTTAATGTTTACCTTATGGTGATCCCATAGCTATATTTCTATTTCTCTGGACCCACTCGAAGTTTCGAGACAACACTTGATCTTTATTTATGCTTACTCAAGGACTGGTGGTCGACCATCCCCTTGCAGTCTTGCAGAGTAGCCCAGCTGTCCGTGCGTCTCACTTACTACTCCGATTACCTGCATCAGGTCAATCTCCAGAATTTTTTAAAAAGAAAGAGTGAGATTGGGCTCAGAGGTAGAGGAGATCATGCTGTTTTCATCTGTCACAACCCGTCCCCGGCTCCCGGCACAATTATCTGGCTCTCAAGGCTGTATCCAGCTTCCGAGGCTTGTGGTAATGAGCCATGCTCTTCTGGGACGCTTCCGAGACATCTGGGAACGAGCCGTGTGCTTCTGAGGCACTTCCGAGGCAAGCCATGTTTCCGGCTCACTCCATTGTGTCTCCCAGCCATTGTCCCATTGTCCTTCATTGTTCTCCTTGTCCTGGCTAAGTTATCTATTACATAATCATGGTCCATTATTCTACATAGCATAAATACCCATGTACAGTAGTAGATTCCTCAGTCGGAATATCAAACTCGACATACCCCCTTTGCTCTAGTTCACTGCCGGAATACAGCTCCTCCCTGTTCACCCGAAATTGGGGACACCCAGACGTTGTGTGGTGGCGCAGCTGCCCTTTCCGTCAAGCTGAAGCCAAGTCCCCACCCCATCCGGCACGGTCGTTACATCATCCCACCTGGCAGGTTTCAGCTTGGGATCACTCAAACGTTTGAGGAGACAGCGGTAGAACAAGGAAAATGTGAGTACCTACAGTGAGGGGGTCACCATCTGTGTCCAGGCTCGCCCCGTAGGGCATTTAAGGGAATTTCTCGATGGGGGCCACACCAGTGATTTCACAAACAACCAACCACAAGGCTCGTTGACTGTGTGCGCGTGACATTTGACGCGACCCGTCACACCTCGCGCACCTCCGCTGAGGACTCAACTGAACTACCTTCATGTCAGCCAGTCCACGCGCCAATGAGACCCAAATAGAAGAGGAAGGCGCACAAGTTCGGGATGAGGAGACACAGGTCAATATAGAGGAGAAGTTGAATGTTGTCGAGGCCCCAGAGCCAGATAAAGCTGCCTCCAAACCGAAGAAGCCTCGCGAAAAGAAAGACCCTCAGGCGCCCTTGGTGCGCGAACCAGGCAAATCCTTGCTTCCTTTTGCGAGGGTACAGAAGATAATCAAGGCAGATAAGGTATGTCATCTTGACTTTCACTCTGGATCTACCTCAAGGAGGTTGCCACAGGAAATCCCAATCGTTGCTAGAGATGCAACATATTTGATTTCGCTTGCTACCGAAGAATTCATCAAGAGATTATGCGAAGCAGCTCAACAGGTCTCTCAGCGTGAGAAGCGCTCTACCGTGCAGCATAAGGATATCGGTGAGACCAATTTGTGCTAATAATGAGTGTTCTGAATCTTGACGCGTCGAGCGTGTAGCTGCTGTTGCAAGGAGGGCAGACGAGTTCCTGTTTCTGGAAGGTACCTATGTAGCAACACCTGCGTTGTATTATCTTGACTGAACCCCTTAGAAATCATGCTGTGGACGTCATCCGCAAAGAGACAGAACACAACAGGAATGGGCCTGAAGGCGAGCCGTGCAACTTTGGTGGATCAGTTTGTAAGGAAGGATAAGGGAGCTGGAGATGATGAAGGTGGAGAAGACATAATGAACGATGATGGAACTATGTATGCTGCAGGTAGTCCCCAACACGACGACCGAGACTGAATATTGAGATTTCCATCACGGGCCGCCCCTCCGGCGATTAAGCGGCTTCGAGGTTGCCGAACACAGGCCCGGGGCTTACGTCTTACCACTGCGACCCCCTTCAAAGGTGACCACGTCCGGCGCATCCTCTGGCATGAAGATTGTGTCGACTTTCCATCCTTCGTCGTCTGTTCTCTCCTCTGCCAAGTGTCGGCTGTCAGAGCGAAACCTAGAGCATCTGGTGGTTGCGAAACTCAACAGACTCGATGTCTACTCTTTGAGACCACACGGTTTGCAACACGAATGCGGCGTTGACGTGTGGGGAAAGATATGCTCTGTCAAGGCGCTTCCTATCTCGGTGAGCATGAGTTACCACATCTAACTCAGTGGCTGAAAGCATCTGCAGGAATACGACGGAAGATCTAATATTGTGGTTATGATAGCCCATCCTGAACCTGAGCTGATAATTCTATCTTATGCGGACTCAGAAGGTGCGACGCCAGAGTTGAAGGTCAAGAAACAGATCCCCCTCTTTGAAAGATCTCCTCGGCTCGCAGAATTCTTCACCGACTTCCTCATTCATCCTTCCGGAAATTTGGCGGTGGTTAGCTGTTATACCGGCAAACTCAAGATTATCACTCTCAAAGGAGGTGCTTATCAGAATGACTTTGATGTTTCGTATGCCCTTGCATTTTGCATGAAACAAATTACCTTTACTGACATGTATCCTCTAGGCTACCTGAGCTCAACGTATTCTCCCTCGCCTTCCTTCCCAACGCAGATGAAGATTACACGTTAGGAATCTTATATCTCGATATTCAAGGCTGCCTACAGCTCTGCGCGCGCGATATCGACACAGAAAACCAGGAAGTCTCTTCCCAGCACTCGACGCTGTTGCAATCTACCTGGATATCCGAGAAAGTCATTCCTTTTCCGAAAGACTCGCCACCGCAACTGATAGTAGTGAATTCGGATGTATCTGCGGGTGGTGGAAGTGACAAAGATGCGTTCTCTGGAGGTGTGTTGGTAGTCGGAGGAAGGCAGATTCTGCTCTACGAATTTGCCTCGAAGGACAGTCAAGAAAAGCAGAGGGGCAAACGAAAGCGGTTGGAAATCAAGAAGAAAAGTTTAGACCCTTCAGAATCGTCCAAAGCCAGGGCCAAAGAGCGAGAACGAGAAAGCAGAAGGAGGAAACCAACAGCTTCAGTCGAGTGGCCATGGAGTGAAGTCACTTCGTAAGGGTGAAAATGCCACTTATTTTGAACCTTCCTTATTATATCGCAGGTGGTGCAATATTGACCAAGATACATCGCGTATCTTGATTGGGGATTCCTTCGGCCGGTTGTCGTTACTATCGTTAAGCAATGTCAACCAGCTAGGAATGATTCTCGTCCCTCTCGGAGAGGTACGTCATTCGATTCCAAAATCGAAGCACTTCATTGATCAACCTTCGACAGGCATCCTCACCTACAACCCTAACATATCTCACCAACCAAATCGTTTACCTAGGGTCACATCTTGGAGATTCACAGCTACTTCAAATTTCACAGTCAGCCACTTCTGGCCAAGAGTCACCCCTCCTCGTCATGCCTCCGGAAACCAAAACTGTCTCGCCAGGGAGCTTGTCCAATGTTCCGTCGAAGAAGGGTAAAGAGAAAGCGCCTACCCAAGACGACATGGAAGTCGATGACGATCACGCAGACGAGTACTCCAAAGGCCGAGTGGTTGACCCAGAGGGCTCTTTTATCTCTGTTTTAGAGTCCTATAAGAGCATTGCACCCATCATGGATGCAGTCCTCGTGGACACTGATGGGAGCGGACAGGTGAGTCCCTTTCGTTCGTCCCAGATGTCAACCAGAAACGAACATAACCTTTCGATAGAACCAAATCGTTACTTGTAGTGGTGGCTCAAATACTGGTTCTATCAACATCGTCCGCAATGGGGCAGATTTCAAGGAACTGGCTTTCGTAGCGGGATTGACCGACGTCCTTGGAGTGTGGCCGGTTCGATCTATGTACAAGGACGCGTAAGCCTTCGACCTGGTTCACTGAAATCTCGAATTTAGTTTGTTATCGCAGAGTGGATTCCCACTTATTTGTCTCGACCGCTAATGGGAGCCATCTATTCCGAATCAATGACCTAGGAAGCAACATTTCGTTTGAACAGATGCCATCTAGCGGACTCACGATAAACAAGCCCACCTTGGCATTTTCTAACTTATCGAAGAGGGAGAGAATGGAGTACATCGACTCGTCGCTGGTTGTCCAAGTCTTGCAGAACGGCGCCTTCTTCTTTGAGTGGTCGTCGACGACGAATACCTACGAGGAAAAGGCACGCTGGATGCCACCTGAGCGGCCGCAAAAGCCAACTCCGGAAATTGTTGCCGCAGACATCAATGCTAGCCAAGTCGCACTGGCACTCAGTGGCGGTATCGTCGTGGTGCTTAATATCGAGAGTGATACCACTAATCTGAGGGTGGTTATGTAAGTACTGTCTGGTCACTTGCCCTACGCATATATGCTGATCTATGGGCGAATAGTAACCATGTTACAGGTTCTGAGATATCTGCCATCACAATTCATCCTTTGAACACGCAGAAGTCATTCTCAACTCAGCTTGCGGTCGCCTATTGGACCAGGAATATTGTTGAAATATTCAAGATCACTCGCGACGGTCTACAATCCACTGACAGTGGCAAATCGCCTCAGCTGCCTGCAATCGTTCGCTCACTCATGTTGTACAACTTCGGCACGGACAAGTCGCCTGGGCCCGACCATCACCCATACCTGCTCGCAGGACTTGGTGATGGGTCAGTCGCAACAATGTCGTGGAAAACAGGGGCTTTGACCGACCGGAAGGTCATTTCCCTGGGGTGTGCACCGGTTCATCTGTCGCCGTGCATAGTAGATGGAAGGAAGTCAGTCTTCGCGGCCGGAAATAGGGCCACAATTTTCTATTGCGAGAAAGGACGCCTTGCGAATTCTCCGATTATGTTGAAGGTAGCAACGTTCCTTTACGTGGTGACGACAATAATCTCAGCAAATGGCCTTTATAGGAAATAACCTCATTGTGTTCCTTAAACGCGATTTCATTCCCTTCCTCGCTAGTCCTCGCTGGAGCGACCGGATTATTCATAGGAAACGTCAAGGATTTAAACAAGATGCACATACGATCGGTGCGCAGTACTCTTCCCCAATATATCGACGACCGTACTCATTACCGGCGGTCCGCAGGCCTCCTTTGGCCTCGATAATCCGCGCAGAATTGTTCATGAACCCTCGCTCAAAGCCCTTGGGGTGGCTTTCACTAGGATCGAACCTTCAAGGATTGGCAATTATGAAGCATCTGCGAGTTTGTTCCGACTGTTGGATGACAACACCCTCGCTGGTCAGTTACTTTCCCTCAGGTTGCTATACGTCAATGTTAACCCTTTTTTACAGTACTTGGACAGTACAGATGTGAGCTTGACGAAGAAATAGTGTCCTTAACGACTTTCACTGCGGCGGTCGGAGATCAGAAGAAACCATTTTTTTGCCTGGGGACATTGATCTACAATGCAGAGGAGAATGAGACATCAGCTGGAAGGCTTCTGATATTCACTGTCACCATAGCTTCTGGAAAACAATCGGCAATGGAGCTTTCCCTGGTGACGACTGTCGACGTCAATGGGTGTGTTTTTGCTCTTAGGACAGTGGAAGAGAGGGTCGTGGCTGCTGTCAATTCTTCGGTAAGCGTCTCCTTTCGACGTAAGACGGATTTCAGCCCATGAACGCGTCAATTCCAGATCCTTCTTTATCGTTTAGAAGTCTCTGAAGAAGAGACCCCTGCCCCAACATTTGCCTTCAAGAAACTTGCGGAATGGAACCATAACTACATGGTGACGAGCTTGAGCTCTTTTGACGATCACATTGGGGCAGGAGACCAGATCTCTTCCGTGTCGTTGCTGAAAGTCGTGGACAAGAGGTTGATATCTATGGCTCGAGACTATGGGCCACTCTATCCAATGGCAGTCGAAGCATTAAGCACAAAGAGTTTGATTTGCGCCAACGTACGTCATACTCTTCATCGTCTCGTTATCTTTGGCCAATCAGTATCACTCGTCAGGATACGCTTAATATCATCGTGTTCGAGCTTACAAAAAATGTACGCGGAGAGGCGCTGGAGCAGGTTGGAAATTATCATCTTGCCGACATGGTCTCGAAGTTCATTCGTGGTAAATCGCATCTACAATATACATATCATCCGCAGATTTATAGTTCATCAACACAGGTTCGCTGTCAAGTATCGACTCGACGAAAGCACCTCTGCTCGTGCCAGAGACTCTCTACTTCACATCTTCAGGGCGGATCGGCATGATCATTGATGTGAAAGACCGCGACTTTGCTTTGCACTTGACTGAGTTGCAGAGGAACTTGGGTGCTGCATTGTTGGGGGTGGGAGGGGTTAGTCATGCCAGGTGTGCACTGTACATTCTGTCGACTTGTGTACATGCTGACACTTCCGATAGATATCGAGCGCCAAAGAACACGAAAGGGATAAGTGACGGAGACAATGCCGCTTTTGGCTTCGTCGATGGCGATTTCTTGGAGCGGTATCTCGACGTAGTCAACCAGCCCGAGAAGCTAATGTGTGTTATGAAAGGAAGTAGTGTCCCGGAAGAGTTGAAGCTGTCTCAAGACGAGATCGTGAAGGTCCTGGAGGAGTTGCAGAGCTTGCATTGAGTTTCTAGATGAGTGAAGTAGGCATGAATCGATCTGTATTGTGCAAGAAATGCATGGATGTACTATAATCTGTAGCAATTGTGTCGGGAGTAAGAGAGCAGGAAGAAAGTCGTTACAGGGTCGTGACACGGAATTGGCAAATAGCAAAGAAAGGAGGCGCGAAGGCAGACGAATAAGTATAGCATCAAGGCAATAGCGACAAGATGTGCGGCGAGGACGGTGCTGTAAATTGCACTAGTAGGTTGAAGGCCTACTAGACGAGTCCATTGTATATGTGTTCGATTGGTATGGAAGAGCGCGCGTGCGCCGCGGGGGAATTTGGCTTCATTATAACCATAAGGATGAAACATACCACCTTATAGTCTGGAAGAAAGAGAGACCTGGAAACTCTTGCAGATCGAGACTGTTGATGTGGCCTTGATCGATGTCAACAGCAGTTGGAGGAGCAAAGTAGAAGCCGGCGATGAGAACGAGGTAGCTAGGCGTGGCATACGTGTCAGAAGTTGAAAAAATATCAGGACAGATAAAAAATACCTGAGAATAAGGATGCTTCCGCGGTGGTAGTTGCTCTTCGCCTCGATGTAGGTGTAGGTCATCAAAAACATGGAAAGGATGAGAGCAATTACGTCCCAGCGAGGGAAAATCAAGCTAGATAGAAAGCTGTCAACACGCAATCAAGAAAGTAGATATTTTACATACGTGAAGGTTTTGGCGACTTCGCCCATGTTTTCGGGAGCATACCAAGCAGAGAATGCCACCATAGCCGGAATTTGCAAGAGACAGACTTGGAGAGCATAGGCCGAACCAATTTCCATGCTATTTGTGTCGTTGATTGACAATTCGAGATGGAGATATTGTACACCTACCTCAGGGCGATGTTGCCATTGAGAGCAAAGGAAATGGCGTTCATGAATTCTGTCGTGTTAGGGACCAGGGCGAAGAGTGTGATACCCAGGAATTTTTCATCTATGCCAGAACCTTTGAGGATGACATCAACGACGTCGACGAGCAATTCTGGGAAGGAAAAAATGTTGTGAACACTTAATAGGATTGAATAAGGTAAAGAAGCAACATACCAGCAATGATCGCGTAGAGTGCAGTGCATGCAAGCAGAACGCTCGCACTCGTCGTCCGGCTCCATGATGGTGCGTCGTGCCCTCCAGTTGCTTCTTGTTCACCCGGACCTCGCAACTTTCCAGAGGCCTGTCCGTGTGTCTGCTGATGGCGCAAGGCACTGACGGTAGCGACGGCTACAGCTCGCGTGAAGTCGTCCGTGGTCATCTGCTCGGGCAGCCGCATGCTACGCAAATCCGTGTTTTTGACGACGTGGTCGACACTTTCCATGACAGGCACAAAGCTAGGCTGCTGCGAGATGGCGTACGATACCTTACGGTGGAAGGTGGGCGAACCTGGTGCACCGGAACGCCCTGCGGATGGGTGTGCAGTGCCAGAGGAGGATCCAGACCCCTCTCGCGGTAAAGGTGTCTCGGTACGCGACGGCCCAGTGCTGCTGGCATTATTCAAATTGCTTTGTTTGCGGTGCAACGACGGAGGCTGTGGGATAGCAGTCGATGGAGCGCTGCTTTGTCCGGGATGCAGAATTTTGTTGTAGAAGGACATCCTGTTGTGAGAAGGCAACTCTATGGGATGGAGCAACTGCTGAGGGTTTTGCCAGATCTGACTTGCGTGTGTCCGCAGAGAAAACCAAAGACCAACGAGATAGGACTATTTCAAGTGGTTAATGATACATTTGCACTGGGTTGGGAGAACTCACAAAAAGCAAAACTGCTGCACAGAAATACATCAAACTTTTGACAGTCGATTGGTAGAAGGGATCATCAACTGGATCCGGATGTTTATAGTAGCAGTGGTCGCAGATCCATGGAGCATCTCCGGGGCGACCTGGCGACGAAGGGCAACCGCTGCAAACCAGTTGGAACTATTGGGGAAAACATTAGCTGGAGCTGGAAAACGCGAAGGTAGGCGCTTGGACTTACATTGCCATAAATCTGATAGAACAAGGTCGGTGTCAATGCACCAATAATGGCCATAATCAACATCATGCTCGTTACGCTGGCACTCTTCGCATTGAACTTCTGCTCCTTCCGCCTGAACGCACCGCTGCACATGCTCATACCGGGCATGAGAAGAACTCCAGCAAGTAAGCTTCCAATGATAGATCCTTCCACGAGGTGTCCTTTGCCTTGGGAGAGTGCAATGCCGTATAGGATAATTTCGATGATCGAACCGAAAGTCGCGTTGATAACAGCACCCATTCCAATGGACGACTGAGCCGAAATCGAGGCGACAGCCATCCCGATGAAATACGACAGTGGGATAACGCTGGTTAGACTGAGGATGAAGATGAGTCCTTGTGAGGCAATGAATGCTAAAAATGCTGGGACATGTTGTCCATGGTGTTCCAGATTTTCGACCCATGGCAGGAGGACGAAGCCGTCAAAGATAACGAAAAAAACGATGGGGAGGGTGTTGATAAAGAGGATATTGACACCACCGATAGTGTACTTGTAGTATTGGAAGCCAACTGCGCGATACGTGCAAAACAATATTGTGGAGCTGGGGGATCCAGATGGGGCCGCCTGGCCTGCGGATAACCTGGGCTGCTTCACCGAGTACTGGGCAACTGAGGTCGATCCATCGGCATCTTCCTCTCCATTGACCTCTTGGTCAGTCTGAACTACAACGAGCGGAGCAGAACAAAAGCGTATATGCGTAGGCATGCTGAACAGGCTCTTCAAGAGGGCCCAATTAAGCCTCGCCATTGGAATAGTGACCACGAGTGCCCAGCAGATCATGCACACGAACAGCATGAGTGGGGCAATGATTGAGATAAGGGCAAGCCAGAAGCACACTTTGCCAATGAAGGTGCCCTTTCGGGGTTCATCTGCGTATATATCAATCGCTGTGCCGGTCGAGTCTGTTGATGTAGTTCGAAGAGCAGTGCCATATGATTTGACGGGGGCGGGGATGTGGGCTACATGATCTCCAAGGAGCGCGGTTGTTTCGACAGGAGGATTGAGACCTGAAGCATTCTGTACACGGGCTGCAAGTTTAGTCGGTGTGAGAGTGGAATTGGAATGCTCGGGTAAAGGGCCTTCGGCATCTCTCTGCGGGGATGCACCGCGTACGGTATGGTCGCTCCAGCGCCGCGGATGAGGGCTCTCATCATCGTCCTTGGGGTCAACTTCTTCCTCAAGGTCGCCTTCCACGTACTTGCCGAAGGGCCAGAATAAATACCAACCCAACCCATGAACCAGGTTTGAATAATGCTCTCCTCCTTGTGGAACGAACCAGAGGACGACGGAGATGGCGATGCAGACAAGTCCGAGCCACCATCCAAATATAACTGCCCAGAAGAGATTGCCTGGGAGAAGGTGGCGCTCTGCCTGCGCAGATGGGATTGAGTGAAGGGCCTCGTCGGCGTGACGCGTCACCGACCTGGACTTCTTGTAGAGTGCAGGTTTCCAGATCGGAAGACCGAAGGGGTGCTGGACGTTGATGAGGGACTGGCGCTCTTTGAGGGTGGTAACGATGTCGCCCCCCTCTTCGCCTTCGTCCCCCTCTCCTGAATCATCGTCAGGGGACGTTGCAGGGGCCTTACCCCGTCGATGTCTGTGTAACCTCTCCTCATCGTCTGCATCGTTTGACTCCTCTTCGTTTTCATCTTCCTCGCTTAGTACGTCATCGTCGCGGTACCCTCGGTTCGTCGCTTGGGAGCTGCTGACACTGTGACTCCTTGCCTGGCGTCTATGGGAATGAGCCGATGAGTTTCGAACGAGAATGGGGGGTGGGTGGAATTGTGCCGTCGGGGATGAAGGCTGCTGAAAGTAGGAAGTACCCTGGTTATGATGCGCAGGAGTGTCTGCGGCCGACCATGCTGAACCACGACTAACTGAGCGATGGAGATTGCCAAAGGGCGGTGACGTGGGAGTCGACGAGATGAATGAGTCGGCGTCGTCCGCGGGTGGGGGCGGGACATTGTGCGACATGTTGGTTGTTGTCGACCAGCGCAACCGAAGCAGTCCAAGTTGGGAGCCCCTGTCAACTTTTACTCGGCTTCTGCTGCAAACGGCAATTGCCGGGGGTATACATACCACAAAACTAATCTAACTGACAAAAAGTATAGCATATTATACCCTACTTGCGCATTAGTTTCTCGTGCAGCTGCGCCCCCTTCAGCTTCGCCCGCAGGTACTCCAGCCGAGCTTCATATCGCTGGCTCACCTCCTCCCGACGTCGCCGAATGTCCTCCATTTCTGTCTCGTAGTCCTCGTCAACGCGTAGGGTATTGTTAGTGTCCGTCATGGACTTCTCGTCCTCGGGGACGGTATGCATGTGTGAATGGGCCGTGCTCCTTACAAGGCTGATATTAGAACTGCTCGCGCCCTTGAGGTGCATAATAGAATTGGGCAACGCTGGAACCGGAGGAGCAACTGCTGTTCGAACTGGTCTCCGATCCGAAGTAACACTAGAGGTCGAATTTTTCCTGTGAAGCGACGTTGGTCGAGAACTTGGATTGAGGGTAGTCGGCGTCGCCAATGTCCCTTTAGATCGCGGAGTTTTCTTCGCTGAATACGCTGAACGCGACATCGAGGGCGCAGTTCCAATAGAGGTGCCAGATCGCATGGATATGGCGTCATCCGCGAGGTTGATACGTCTCTGTGACCGTCCATCAGAGTCCATACCCCAATTTGACTCCGTGTAGTTCGACTTGAGGAGGTCTACAGTCTTGAGTGATGGTCGAACCCGATGCCTTTGAGCCCTAGCAAGGCTTGTGACCTCAAGACCGTTGAAGGCATCCATCAACCGTTTCGCTTCCGCTTCTACGCTGGCAATCTCTTGAGAAACTTCTTGAACGGTGGTCAAATTCTCCTCGTTGAAAACTGTGCGCAGGTTGTTGGTATTCGCATGTGGGCTATCGTGTCCTCTCGAACGAGGGAATGACGACGGTGGTGCATTCATGCGTCTGATGCTACCCGTGGCGGACCGTGCAGTAGATTTTTCACTATGCCCACGATCAGAGCCTATCCGCCTGGAGGATATTGACATAGCGTCTGCTTGGGCGTTCGTCCGTACTGAGGAATCGCTCGTCCTCCGCGTCAGAATCCGCGGCATCTTGAAGAAGGATGTATTAGATGTGCTTGACCATATACTTGAGTTATCGCTCATGTCCTTCGAGGCAGATCGTCGGCCCGTCGCTCGTCTGAAAAGGTCGGTCATCCCTGAAGTGACTGACGTCTTTGAGGTGATTGAAAGAGGTCGTTCGACTTGGAAGTTGGAGAGAGGGCGGGTTGAAGTTGCTGAAGGAGAACATGGATATGGCAAAATAGTTGTTGAACAGTAAGTATTTTCTTACCTCGTTCCGGTGTGCCCCCGCCTTTCGGAGGTCGAGGTCGAGCAGGGGCAACAGGCACAACGGGGGCTTCAGTTGGAACTGTAGCATTGGTAGCGAAACGCTCGAACAGGTTCTGGCGAAGGAGGCGATATTCATCGTCGCTGCAAGAAAGAAATGAGTGACCCGCACAATAATTCAAGTAGATATCGGCCCACTTCAACAGTCCCTCCGAGTTCGCTACAGCTAGCTCGTTCAAACGCTGCGCTAACGTCACCCTGTGAATGCGAAGGGTCAACAGTGAAGGCAAAGGCGAACTAACTCGGTTCTCTTACGTGACGACGTCAGTGGTGCTTTTGCGAGGTGAGGCAGGAGTGCTGGCATTGGCGCCATGGGCTTGAGGATGAGAGGAGGATCCTGAGGGGTCTCTAGTGCGCGGTGAGGCGACCAAAGGGGTTGAAGGTTCGCTGTGAATAGTCCGTTTCCGTGAGGCCGAAGCGGGTGTCGCTGGAGGAAGGCGGTTGGAAGGATTGAGTAGGATGCTCGGGCCAGCGCCGCCCCGACTGGGAGAAGCCAGAGGGCTTGACGCGACGGGCGAATGGCTGCTCGAAAGCGTCTGCGCGGTCGTAGCCCCACTGCGAAATGAAGGGGTCTGATCTTCGCGTTCTTTCCCCTTCTTGCCGTACTAAGGCCCCCACACGGTTCAGACAGCGCGAGCGAAAAAGCGAAACGAGATGATTTCATGAAGCAGAGAAGATGACAGCCGCGCGATTGCGTCAACGCGAAGGCGAACGAAGGAAGAGAGAAAGAGACGCACGAAACGGGAGCGTATGACCTGCACGACTCCCTTGTCGCCGTTGTTCCCCGCAACTCCCCCCACGCCAATGGCGACCTGGTAGCTGTTGTTGTCTTCAGCCTTTCTGGACGAGAAAAACCCCATGTCCTCATAACGGTGTTGCTCTAAACCTAGTTGGAAGGAAGAGCAGCAGGGAGTGCCCTGGGGTGGATGTGGGCGTTCGCCCGAAGCGGTCAGGAAGCGGTTTTGAATTGATTGCGAAGAGCACGAGGCGCACAAGAAACCCTGAAATCACGCGTCGGCATTCTCTACGTTTCATCACTCTCCAGTAACCACAACTTCAATTGGTCATAGTGCTCTTTGTTCAACGTGTAAAATGTAATTATTGTCAGTAACAAAGCCACCTTAACTTCACAACTGCATTATGTCGTCGCCGCTATCTCTTTGATTCGTTTGATCAGGCAAATACCTTATTAGACGCCTTCACCTCGACGACGGTTGATGTACGGCTGAAAAGAAGCAATTAACTGCGGTGCAGCTGTCCTATTTTGCATTTGCAGAAAGGCAGAATCATCAAATGAAGTACATCATTGGCATCTCACCCCACTCCCACCCAGCAGGAATCCAGGTTTCAACAATCATGGCGACCTTCGGCTTCTGAAGAACGCCCCCATCTCTTTCACAGTGTGGCCAAACCCTTCAGTGATGACTACCTTGCTTCCTATCCACTTGGGAAGTTTATTCCTGATTGAAGGTGTCCCGTACCGTCTGTCCAACAAGAGGAGAGACGCCCAATCATTCTTGTGCCGTATAGCCCTTCCTAAAAGCGCAATTTCTACGTTAAACAGGACGGCATCATGATTAATGAAAGTGACGTACCAATACTCTGGTTGACTGCGTTCATGCACATGTTCTCATACAGCTCAGCTGCGGCGTCTTTCTGGTTCTTTTCCTTGTTCTGTGCACCGCGCTGTTCTTCTAAACGTTTCACGTATTTCATTCGTTCGCGTAGCTCTGGAGACCCAATATTCGCAAAAGGCAGGCCAACGATGACGACTGCTCGAGCGAGATCGTCTGCGAAATTGAGGCCTTCAGACAGTTTTGCTCCGATAACGGCGAAAAGCAATGCTCCTCCTTTCTTGTCTTCCGCGTGCTGGAAAGCGATAGTTAGAGCCAGTCGTCGGCAACGATCGAAAAAACCGACCTTGGTAGCGGCCGCTGAGTATTCCTGGAGAATCTTCTCCACATGAGAACTTTCCTCCGGTTCGAAGAAAACCTAGGTCGAACTTAATAATGAAAGAACTTAGTCAACATGACTACCAACCTGCTTCTTAGCAGCGTACTTCTCCAGAGTTCCACTCTTTGCCCACAGCGCCTTCGCGGTATTCAAGAATTTGTAGGATGGAAAGAAGACAATCATTCCGGCTGGCACTATGTTCGCAAAGTTGAGCAGCACCTGTCCCAGCTGAGAAATCTATTGGAGGTGTAAACATCATCCCTCTGATACTAACAGGACTAATCATGCAACTCACAATAGCAGGATCCCCTTGCTTGTCAGCCTTGAATTCCAATTCACCTCCACTTGGTCCTTTCCCGACTACCAACGCCTGCAGATTGGACTCCGGGATGATATGACCACATGAGAAACTAGTTATTTTCTCGGAAGGAAGGTGCAAAAAAAGTTGATTTATCACGTCCGAAATCTGAGAATTTATCAATACGCCAACATCGACATTAGAAAATGGCGAACGAGGACACCTACCGGTGACATGGTACCTCCAGCCAAGACGACAGACCGAGCCTCCTCGACCACTTCCAGGAAGTTTGGTGCTGGATTCAAGAGTTGATACTTAATTTCAACTGCACTTTCTTGTCCTGGATGGTGGACAAGCGATAAAGTCACACGCCCGTCTGTTGAAGAAGGCATCAGGCGAGGAAAGAAAAGTATGTGGGATCAGGCGCAAACCATCGTTGGTGTTCATAAGCGAGCGCATAAATTCTTCAACAATGTATAATGGAGGAATAGCGCCGCGGCGGATTTGCCATTTCAGCGTTGAATCTATGCAAGGTTTCAGGCGAGATCTTTTCGAAGCCTGAGATATACCTGCCCACCATTATCTTTCTCCGCCTGTTTATCAGAGTAGTCTGCGATCTTTCTGGCAATCTAAAGTCGAAAATTAGATAACGAGCTATTTCTTTCTATTCCATTAGCCAAGTTTGACAGACCTTGCTTTTCTTCAAGTAAGCCTCGATCTCCAACAGGTTTATCCCAGAAACCTTCTTACCTAGCCGTCCTATCAATTCGCCGACAGTCATCACTTCAGTCTGCTCCTTTTCCTTGGCTCTTTCTGTCTTCCATAATTCGACGTATTTTTTCAGCGTATCCAGAAAGATGTCCAAACGCTTCAGATGGAGCATGTTGACAGGAGACAAGCGTGTCTTGAATCGCGATACATATGTGCAGACTTGCTGGAAGGCGAGTGTTAACGTTGACTGGGGGAGATATGCAGTTGACAGAGATAGTAGGGTGGGTATTAGATCTATTCCATTCGTTGTCATCCTGAAAGCATTCGCGGTATCTACGGAACTGCTTACTGTGTGCTTCATCAATCAAAACTATCTGGTCTTTGAGATCAATGCCCAAGGCTTCACGGGCAGATTTCTGAAGCAGGAGGTTATAAGGAAGTGTTACTAACTTGAGCAAGGTAGGTCAAGGAGGCGCGTATTGTGAAAGAAATTATGGTCGTACTTGTGCTTGTGGGATGGCACGCCGTGAACCGAAATACGGACAGGTCTCAGCAAGGCGACCAGCGGTTGCCAAATCTTCGATGTCCTTCGGAGCCGCCTGACGATTACAAGAATTAACTAAGAACTGTCGCTAACAATTCTTGCACCCACCAAAACTTGGTCTCGAAAATCGAGCATCTTCTCCTCTTCCCCAACTGGCGGTAGGTACTTGCAGCGTTTTTCTTCCTTTTCTAACAACGAAGCTGATTACTTCTTCGGTCTTTGCATTCCGACATGTAAACTGACCTCCTAGCAGCTCCCGGCACGCCTCGTCCAAATCTCGTGCTCTTGATCGCAAATGATCGTTGATGCAGAGTTGTTTTCTTGAACCCAAGGCAACAGTCCTTATCCTAGACCGAGACGAGGAGGGACCACAGTCATCTTCATCGAGGCATTCAGCACTTCGTTTAGGGGCAGCCAGATCTTGTGGGAGGTGGTGGTTCGTAATAGATATGTTTCCAGCTCGGAGCTTCAGTTTACTGAGTTCTGGAAGCACTTGCGTCAGTTGTGAGTGAGTTCGAGACGCGTAATATATCTTGGTGCACGCGGTTTCCTCTTCAGCGTTATGGCGGCTGTTGCCCTTGTCGACCCTACAGAATGGGCGGAAAAATGATCCGGATAAGAGGATAGAAGAAAGTTGAAGATATTTACTTGGCCATGAGGGCGCGCAACGCGGGGGATATGTGTATCTCTTCTTCGTTTGGTGCTTGGTCTGTTTCTGGGAGGAACTGGTCATCGTCCTGGTCATTGTTCGATGTTTTCTCCGTCGCTTGGTGGCTGACTTTCTTCGCGTAAGTTGGAAGGAGAGCAATGTGTCTGTGAGTGATATTTCTCACCTGCCGTTTGGTTACACGTCCTTTCGCTGCGCGCCTCATAAGTTCTTCTCGTTTCCTGGCGCGTGCAAGCTTTTCTTCGTATTCACGTTCATCTGCTTCCATCTCGCGTCGCAAACGATTTAAGGTCTGTTCAACAACCCAATCTTTGGCTAAAATAATGTCAACTACATATGCCAAACAAGAGGGCCTCTTATCGTACCTTCAATGCCATCTCGGCCAGCGATCTCTTTCATTTTCCCCTTCCGAGAGCGTTCTTTCTCGTCCAGTAGCCACGTGAGCGAGGAGCAGAGTAAAGTGAGTGTTTTACCCTGCATTCAGCTGGTCAGAACACGCTCTTCTGCACCGTAACACGGCAAGGCTCACCGTGCCTGTGGGACTTTCTACGATAGTTATTTTTCGTTGTTCAATAGATTCGTACAGGTGTCGCATGAGAGATGTCTGGATACTATATGGTGGATTGTAAGGAAAGGCGGGGAAATCCCTAGGCGTGAGTAGCTGTAAGTCCATGTTGATCACTGTCATGGTGTTGAAAACAGCTGAGTGAAAGACGCGTCGCCCATCATGTCAATACGCGCACGTGATACGTGTATGGGAGATATATTATGACGTCACCGCTACCAGCTGCAAGAAGAGCAAGAAGAGCGAAAGCCCCTCTTAGTACATAACTTACGTCAAAGCGAAACTCAAAGAAAGTGAGAGGTGCAAACAGGGAGAAGGGAAAGGGAAAGGGAAATTATTTGTTGATTCATAGCTACAAGGTAAGTACAGTACTAGTGGAAGACAAGAAGTCAATTACAAAATAAAGCCACAGGCGTCATAGCTCAGCAACGTCTGCCGATACGTAGGGGTTCACATTATAATCTTAACCTCTAGCCACACGTTTGTTCTCTTCAAGTTAACTGCTCATCGAAGACAGGTTGCCTGAATGATGAAAGTGGAATATGTCGTGTGTTGAATGGGCCAATAAGACCATTCAGCGAGGTATATGTGCTATGTCACTCAGCCAACTCAAAGGGCATGTGTACTTCCCAATTATCTCCGGCCGTCCATCCAGTTCCTCGCGACCTGTCGATGTCCTCCTGTCGTTAATCGTTACCTTCGCCATAGAAGTTCTTCAACCAAATCTCAGCTTCAGCGTATTGCAACCGGACACTCTTCAGGAGTATGCGCATCTGTTGGAGGGCCTCGATCGGAGAGAGGTCCTTGTTGTTATTTTCGTCGCGCCGATGGCCACAGTGCTGAATCTTCTCGCACGTTGATTGCACTCTTGAGAGACCAAGAGCCGCAGAAGAGCCTTTCAAAAAGTGACCCAGTGAGGACAATTGTTCAAGGTCATCCTTGGCACTATCAAGGGACAGATAATGAGAAGATGTATCATGAGATATGAATACAATTGTGCTAACAATGCTTCATCCATTGTGGCGAAAGTTTCCTTTGCCTGGTCGAAATAATCCCATACCATCGAGCGCGAGAACTCATGTTCGTCGTCATCTTCATCGAGCTCAAGGATTTGTTCGAAGACATCTATCTTGACCAGGGGTGTATCCTAGAAGGAGAATGCATAACATCATTACCACTGAAACATGTGGACAATAACGGAGAACGAAGCGTAGATAGTGCTGAAGATTTGCTATAGAAGGGCAAGCGGATCGCTGATTACCTCTTCTGGCTCCAGCTCTACGGGTGAACGAGGGGGAGTCTTGGAGTCCACTGGTGAGGGTGCCGGCTGTGATTCAGGTTCAGGAGTCTTATCCTTCGACTTAGGGGGGTCCGGGTGTGAGTGTTGAGGTGGCACAGGATGTAGCGAGTCTGGAGATGGCGCCTTCAGAAGAGGAGGCTCTTCCTTGAGAGCCGAACGGGGCTTGGGCATGGGAGCTGTTTCTGCAGCAGACATGGATCGTCGTCGGGCGGAGCGGTAGTGGATGTGCGTAGATGATGACGGTTCTGCGCGAGAACTGTGCACGGGGATCGACTGACACAGAGTGTGCTGTAACAGGATTTATCGGATTCCTCTCGCTAAGTACCCATAATCAGTCACATTCCGTCACAATCCCTGATGACCTCATTCCACGTGCTCTCCTCATCAGATTATCGCCCTCTCCCGAAGGTCTGCTATTTGCTCCGCACTGTAGCCTAGCTCTTCCATTACCTACAAGGTATCTGGTCAGAAATCTCTTGGAACCGTCCCCAAAAAATGATCAACCTCTTCGGTATGTTCAGACAGCCACGGAGGCGGTAGCCGCACTTCCATCTTCTTGCCATTGTATGTCACAGCAGGAGCAACTAACTTGATTTTACCGGCTCGAGCATGCTGCCAACACGCCTCGGCGATCTGTCTTGTTCTAGAGCCCTGCGTGGCAAGCCACTCACCTTGACTTCGACTGTCACTCCCCTAGCGACTGCCTAGGCGAAGATAGCTTCAGTCCCAAAACCCTCGAGGAAGGCTAAAAGCTTACCTGGGGATGATTAAAAGTCTGCTCAATATTGTTTATAGGCCCGAACGGCACTCTGCATCCCGTAGGCCGAGTAAGAAGGAAACCGCCAATAAAATCTGTCAATACGTTACCCCAGTCCAGTGAAGCACTCTAGCCAGTAATTCCTGTCCTCCTTCATCAGTACGTTACTCATGATGCCTACAAGTTCCGTCCGGTTTTTCACCCGCGCCTCATTCGTTGCAAACTTGGGGTCAACGGCCAAGGCTGGACTGTCGAGAACATTCTCCGCTAGCGTCTTGAACTATGCCGGGTGATCATTGCCAAATCGAATATGGGGATACCCGCCAAAACAGCAAGATAAAAGAGGGAGATGGAGACAGAAGAGACGTCAGCTGGAATCCACCTCGGCAAAAAATTGGAGTTCTTCTTACCTGCTTATTGTTGCCTGCGCCGATCATGATGAAGCCGTTCTTGCAGGAAAAGACCTGGTATGGAACGATGGAAGGGTGGGCTGTGCCATGTCGCGAGGCTTCTTGTCCAGCGATGAGATAATTGGACGCGATATTCGCCAGTCCAGCAATCTGTGACAGAAGAACACGTCCAATGAGGGTTCCTTCCAGGTGGTGCTGGGAAATGAGATAGTTGCCTGCGACTCGAAAAGGTTACAGTCAATCCAGACTCCCTTGCCAGTTTGTTGGCGAGATAAAAGAGCTGCCATGATCGCTCCATGAGCATACAACCCGGTGGCGATATCCGTCGCCGCCACGCCGACCTTCGACGGTGGCCGGTCTGGTTCCCCCGTGCTAGTTGATAGACAAGAAGGTCAGATTTCTTTTCCTTTTCAGAATCGGGCGTATTTCACGGACATATGCATAAGTCCGGCTTCACCCTCGATGATAACGTCATAACCCGCTGCTGTTCTGTAGGGACCAGTCTGCCCGTACCCTAAGAGATAAATCACAACCCCGAAATACAAAAGAGGGTCAGTCCTTGATTACAGAACGAAGTAAATGAACACGCACCCGTTATAGACGCGTATATCAAGCGTTCGTTGATCTTCCTACAGTCCTCCCAGCCGAGACCCATAGAAGCAAGCTTTCCCGAAACAAAGTTCTCCACCAAGATATCTGATTTCGCCACTAGCTTTCGGACAATTTCTAGGCCTTCCGGATCCTTGAAATTCACAGTCATGGACCGTTTGTTTCGATTGACCGCTAGGAAGTATGCCGACTCTGGTGGCAGATGAGTGGATGCTTTCGGAGTTGAAGGAAGTGTTGGGGCTGAGGGAGGGTGCCACGAGCCTAAAACACGGCGGAATTAGCGTTCAGTGGGGTCTACAAGGTCTGGACAACTGCTTCGTTGATTCCAGCGTGTATGGAAAAATGACATACGAGTATCATCGCCCCGCGAAACCTCCTCGACCTTAATCACATCGGCACCTAAGTCTGCCAGCAACATAGTTGCCGTCGGCCCCGCGAGTACACGGGTAAGGTCGAGAATCCTTATTCCTTTCAGTGGGGGCGGAATCCCAGGACCATACGGAAGTGCAGGCGCGTCTGAACCAGTCGGTTGCTCGGTCTCGTAGAAACGCCTTGAACCACTGGTCAGTCCATTCAACAGAGAAAGGCGGTATGCATTGCCAAGACAGTATCGGGCAGGTAGATTAACTTGGCAGAGGACTCGGGACATGGGGAGCGAGAGTTGGTGGAAATACGGTGGGAGAGGAAAGTGCCCATTTGACTGGTGCGGTGGGTCGCGTTTGTGGTCGGAGATTCTTCGAATTCTTTTCTATTTTCATTTTCTCTCTTGTGATGCATGTGATGCGTGACAACCTTTCTCTCCTCTTCCATGGCTGACGAACAACGCGACTGCGACTGCGATAAGTGTGAACCTACTCTAGAGGTTCAGCCTTATGTTCAGATATCCCCGAACACGATGAGGATGATCACCCATTGGCATACGCCCTTGGCAAGCGCAAAATCTCTCCTGTAAAATGGCTCAAGAGTCGAGACAGTCTCGGATTCCGTCAATGCAGCCGCCATTTCAGCTGCCAATGCTACCCCATCCCTGCCATCCAGTGTGGATCGCTTTTATCTCGTATCGCTCGAACACTCGGCTGAAGATTGTCTCGAGACTTGCTAGATCGTTCCTTGTGCACTTATTGAAAATGATTTAACATGATTCTTTCCAGCTCCAGAAGCTCGAATCTGCCTGGGGTCATCTCTTTCTTCATTGCAGGTACAATCTAGCATAACCACATGTCAACCACGACTCTCCGCGCATAGTGACTTTTTCGCATCGTGCCTCTTTTGATCAGGGCTGCTGGGCACTCGTCCTTCTGGACCTTCGGTATCTCTCAAGCCTCACCAAATTCCTCGACACAAAGGGAAATTGGAGGAAAGAGCCGCCGAATGAAGGTACGCCTAGCCCTTCTGCCTTCACGGACTACATTTTCGTGATATCGATATTTACTACCCATGACTTTTATAACGCCGCCGAGTCTTTCCAGTACCTCTTCCTTGCTCTTCCTCATGATGATGACATGTCAAGGCAGCCGCTTACTTGATCCTGGTCAACGGCGACTTCTGCAAGTGAACTCAAGCCGCACTTTTTCTTGTACAACACTTTGCCAATTATCCACTCCACAACGGGTCGCTTTTGTCGTTTATGACTTCGACATGAAGCTTTCAAGCTCTCGGTTCTTGTTGCTCAATGAACAATATCGGCCTCTGATTTGCCAACTAACAACAATAAGCACATGGGTTATGAGTGTCAGCCCATATTTCCCTGCTCCCGCCCATGACAGATTGGCAACGGCCATCGGTGATGTGGATCGCAAAATGGGCATGCAAGTTACGGAGCGCTTTGGGAAGAAGGTCAGTATATTGTCCTACACTTTTTGACCCCTGGCACCATATAACTATCATGCGCAAAAGCATCAGCATATTATGCAGACTACTATTAAAATGATGTATCTATAGCAAGCAACCAATAGTAAACCATGATTCCTCCAGGAGACGGAATATGATCGATGGTGGTGAATTATGTTGACTGGAACAAACTGGAATGTGTGATCCACATATGGCGATAAAAAAACTAGATCATCTCTGAGTCGAGATAGACGATTAGGAATGTTTGTGTAGACGGAGGAACGATAGACAGCGTTAGACAGGAAAGAGCTACAAGTCCTGAGATGTTCGGTGAAAAAGTTGTGTAGTCGGCAACTAGAATGGGCTTACAGGAAAGGATGGAGAATGAGCTCTTAGAACATTTCGACTTCATCTCTGGCCGAACGTATGCTGCTGAAAGAAGAAATGCTGGACTGTCTACTGTGTCGGCCGGACGACTGAGGAATAATATTCATAAGCATATGCTGAGCAGCTCGACGAAGGGCTAACATACGCCTATTGATCTCATAGGGAAGTCAATAGAGGGCCCTATGCTCGACGACGACTCGGAGAATGTCGTGAGCTGAATATCCGCAGGCCTTGTTATGGACTCCGGGTCCACCATGGGTGTATTCAGCATAAGGGTGAAGAGCCGCGCGACAGTAGACAGAGGGGATTTGGTCTGAGAAGGCGACATAATGATGAAAGAAGAGGGTGAGGTAATGGTCGTGAATGGTCGTAAGAAAAGAGACTGGCGCTTGCAGGGTCCATTTGTCGAAGTGGTCTTACTTTATAGTGGGAACAAGTGACGTCACCGGCACTGCAGCACACCCCCGCATTCGGAAGCTGTCGATCGCCGCGCCTTTTTCGATCAGGTTACCCATGAGTTTTTGAAGCTCAACAACTCTCAGGGATTGGTCGACAGACGGCCATCGCACTCTCGGAAGCAGGATGGAAAGTTGTCTTGACAGCTCGTCGCTTAGACATGTTGAAGGAAACGGCAGCGTTATGCAAGAACGAGACTCTCATACTCGCAGGTAACGTCCTCGATGAAGAATTTGTAGTGGACCTGTTCCGTATTGCGGTATCACATTTCGGTAAGTGGCCTTGGTTACCATTCGCGTTCCTTACACGAACGTTCTTATCCAGGTCGACTGGACCTCTTGTTCAATGCAAGCCGAACAATTTGCCTCATAGAAGTTCAGAACGGATGACAGGACTTCCTTCCAGAACGCAGGGATTTCGGCAAAGCCAATTCCAATCGAGACAATGTCCCTTCAGACTTTCAAGAACGTTATCGACGTCAATCTTGTTGGATCTTTCCTCGCCACTCGGGAAGCGTTTAAAATCTTCAAGTCGCAAGAACCTCAAGGCGGTATGTCTCGACGACACCTCCTTGGCTTACTGAGAAAGTGTAATACTTTCCAGGGAAAATAATAAACAATGGCTCACTCTCTGCGCATGTCCCAAGACCGAATTCGTTCCCCTATACATGCTCGAAGCACGCAATTACTGGCCTGACGAGATCCACCGCTCTCGATGGTCGGCCTTTCAGCATAACCTGCACACAGATTGACATAGGAAACGCGCTCACGGACATGTCACGTGGGAGCACGGTTGGGGCTCTTCAACCGGATGGCTGCATACTAGAGGAGCCTACTTTCGACGCCAAGCATGTAGGCAGCACAATTGTCCATATTGCGAGTCTGCCTCCCGATGTTGCGATGCTTCAAGTCAATATCATGTACGGAATTCCTCAACTTTAAAGGAATGCAGCCGTTCTAACCAAGTTATTCTCCAACAGGGCGGCCGAGATGCCATACGTCGGGAGAGGGTAAAGGTGCACACATCTGCGCTAATCTCTAGCACGGACCCAGACCGAAGAGAATGGGATACGTTAATACATTGCAATTTAAGCAAGATCAGAATACGACTATGAAGGTGTTGCTGTGCTGCTGGCTGCTCCGACTGTCTTCGGCATTTTCTTATCTCCTTGCGCCAGTTGTTCCAGGTCGGCAGGCTTAAAGTAGTGAGGGGCAACTACATCGCGCAAAAATGAGACGATGAACTTCGTGGAGACGTGGCAATGGACGTACCCTCCAATAACCAGTTTGGCTTGATTTCCATGACCATCCTGAAGGTTAACACTCAGTATTCAACTCGTCCAGAAAGAAAAGGAATTATATTACCTCATGTAAGATTTACTTGTCATCACCAATTCGTAGTATAGAAGAGTCTTGACTGGTGGCTGGTGCTGGAACAAACTAGAAGACGGGTGGATGTAGACAGTGTGGTTTGTTTTCAGGGTTCGGTATGAGTCGCCACTCTTCTGCAGTTGTGCCTACAAGAAATATTGTCAACAACACCAGCTATATGGGTAGCGATTAAGGAACCGACCGTATTGTAGAAGTATCCGGATGTAATAGCCTTCTGTATTGGCGATATATCGTTGGAATTGGGATTTGACTGTATTACCACCTCGACTCGCTCACACAGCCCCGCCAACTGGTCGCGAATGTCGCGTGCTCTACTCAAGCTCTTGAACTGCAAGAATTGCTCGTAGCAGAACTGTTGAGAGTAGTTCGTTTCCGCCCATTGCTCCCAAACGTTCAAAAGTGTGAAGTGGTCACCACCGGGTCGCACGAAGTTCTGGCGTGCTTGATCTGCATGCAGTTTCTTGTCTTTAGGGCGGTAGAAGAGAGAGCCGGATTCGGAAAGCATTGAAATAATCGTCAGAACCTGCAAGAAAAAGAATGAGGATTCCGTGCTGGGTCGTATAGTAATAAAAGGACGCGTACTTCGTCAGTACACGAATACTTCTCGCTCGAGATGATCGCCTTCGACAGCATCGGGTCCACAGGGAATTCAGCCATACGACGACCCAGCTTCGTCAACTCTCCTCGATCATTCAGGGCACCGAGAGCATAAAGAAGCTCGAGAGCACGCATGAGCGTCTCGCCAGGCGGAGGATCAAGGAACTCAAATCCAATGAGATCGTTAATCCCCAACGACTTAAGCAACAGCACAACCATTCCGAGGTTCGTCCTTTGGATCTCTGGCACGGTGTTTGCCTCCAATTCATTAGCGAAAGCCCACTTCGTGTACAGTCTGAAAGCCTTTCCGGGGCCGACACGACCGGCTCGGCCTGCCCGCTGATTTGCGGAGGCACGAGAGCACTGAGAAGACATGAACTGATGCCACCCTCGAAGGCCCAATGAGCACTCACCGGAACAACAAGAAGAGAGGACATTCCTGTCCTTGGATTGTACGAGTTTTGCTTGACAAATCCAGGATCAATCACAAATACCACCCCGTCGATCGTGATAGACGTTTCAGCGATGTTCGTGGCAATAACGACCTTTCGTGCACCTTCAGGTGTTGGTTCGAAGATCTTGGCTTGCATTTCACTAGGTAAGTTCGCGTAGATTGGACATATGATTAACTCCGCTATTTTGTTGCCTAGGACACGAGCTGTTTCTTGGAGACTTTCTTGACATGCCTCAATCTCTTCTTGACCCTTAGCGCAAAAAAATCAAGTAAGGCAAAGCACAGAAGGATACAAATAGACATACCGTCAAGAAGACCAGAATATCACCCTTGGGTTGCGTTTTATGGATCTGGAAAACAGTGATGATGGCCGCATGAAGATAGTTGGCTTCGGGTTGTGGTGTGTAATGAATGTCGACTGGGAATTGACGGCCAGGAACTGGAGGTCATAAGAACACATGAGCTTAGTTTTTCGAAAGAAGGACACACCGTAAAATGTGGGAGCGTTATCGAAGTATTCACTGAACTTGTCAGCATCCATGGTGGCACTCGAAATGAGTAAACGTAGTTCAGGGCGGAACCGTGCAATATCCTGTTGAGGGGGTTATATTTAACTCAGGCCACAAAGCCGTGGACCGAAGACAAACCTTAACGAGAGCGAACAGAATATCCGTACTCAGAGTTCGTTCATGGGCTTCATCGATGATAAGAGCAGAGTAACCAGCGAGATCTGGCTCCGTCAGGAACTCTCGCAGAAGCATGCCGTCCGTCATATACTTCAACACGGTCTTGTCGCTGGTACAATCCTCGAAACGTATTGAGTATCCGACCTCATAGCCAACTTTGGTTCCCATTTCCTCGGCAACACGAGCAGCGACAGACATCGCAGCAACACGACGAGGCTGTGTGCATCCGATTTTCATGCCGTTGGTAGTGAAGCCAGCTTCATGAAGGTATTGAGGAAGCTGGGTCGTTTTGCCCGAACCAGTCTCTGCTACGACGATGAGAACCTGGTGCTCCTTTACAGCCTCTATCAGCTGTTCCTTGTAAGCGTAGATCGGAAGCGACTTTCGAGTCTCCTCGATAGTCTTGGCTAGATTGCACGGGTCAGCATATTATTTTGCAGACGAGCAAATGGAAGTGTACCTCTTTTTTCCGCTTCGTCGATCTGAGCCTGAAGCAATTTTTCAGCCGCACTCATACCGACCCCAGGGAGAGAGGACTCCATGACGAACTTGATGGTCTGGGTTTCATCGAAGACATAATCATAGTCGTCGACCATTTCCTTCTTGTCCAAAGCACCAGATTTGAAGGTGCTATTTCGCGTTTGACTTGCCTCCCACTGATCAATGTCCGTGACGAATTGGTCGTCTTTGGGTTTCGCTTCTTCATAACGCTGATATAGGGCATTTTCTTTCTTCTTCTTGTCGATTTTTCCTTGCTCTGTAATGTAGTCTTCAGGCAGTTGGTAGCCCTCGTACTTGTCATTAATTTTGAGGCGTTCCTCGACAAGTTTCAGCAGTTCCTTTTTGCGCTCTAGGTCGCGTTTCTCTCGCTTGGAGATCTCCATGCCAGAGAAGAGGGCTTCATCATCTGCAATCTCCTTGCGTAGAAGTTCTATTTGCTGGATTTCACGTTTGGTGAGGTATTCCTGACGTGAATGCAATCGTAGTGATGGGAGAGCATTGTTGCGAGCCTCCGAATCATCAGCAAGCTGTCGTCGTTGAGCAGCTTCCGCAGCGGCCCCTGTAGCCTTGGAGGACCTATCCTCGACCACTTTCTTCGTCGTTTCTCGATCCCGGTCACGAATACGCTCCGCAAAGGCATCACGGTCGCGTAAGTCCTCCAACCGTTCCCGTTCCTTTCGCGCCTCTTCGTCTTCAGGGATTTCAATCTCCATTTCATCCTCCTTTCCCCGTGACCCGGACGGCTCTGCCCCTTCGTCACCTCTCCAACGCTTCCGAGCTTTCTCCTCGTCGTCGCTCTCCCATTCCTTCTCGTCGTACTCCCGCTTCCGAATATGCTTCTCCCTCTTCTCCTTCTCCTTCTCCTTCTCCTTCCCCTTGTCCTTCTTCGCTACAATCAGGTCGGTGCTGTCTCCCTCGTCCTCCAACATGAAACCGAACTTCTGCGAACGTAGGGCTTTAGCATCCTTTTCCGCTTGTTTTCGAGCACTGTCGGCAGTGGAATGTCTGTGTTTGTGTTTCCTCGGTACTCTTGAGAATAATTCAGAAGTGAATGCATGGGCATCCGGGGTGTCGGGCAAACCAGAAGCGTTCAACGCTGAGAACAGGTTTTCAGGTGTTTTGGACGAAGCCGCTAGCGGGTGTTAGAGGTGACATCAGGAAAGAGAGGAAATGTGCATTCACCTGATGCTATGACATAGTCAATCATGCTACGATCTGCAATGCCGAAAAGCTGCGAGGAGTAGAAGGTATTCGTAAGAGTAATACCGACAGTGTCGATTGGCACTTACTCGGAGAGAGTTATCGCTTACATAGCGTTCCAAACTTGACGACATTTCGCCAAATCGTAGCAGATGTTCCCGACAGAAAGGGGGTCTCGTCAAGGTGGAGGGAGTCGAAGAGCAAGTTAGTGAAATAGAAATCAGAGTCAATAAGTAGTGGCTGTGTATTGCGGCCCTCTTGAGCTTGAATGGTTGATCATCGAATCATACTACTCTTATCGAAGGCGCTCGTTCTCAGAAGGTGGTACATTTCTTTTGAATTGTCACTAAAATATAAGTACATAGTGCTGACAGAGTATAAATGTCAGCATTCTACGGGGGCCCGCATGTCTGGAACTTTATGAGATAGCAATCCCGATTGTGGTTGGAGAATCGAGAAATCGAGATTGGGGAATGGGTCATTTCAAGCCGGAGCACTTGTATGATGAATGATGGAAATCGCGTTGGAGGTGTGAAAGTATATTCTGCACAAAAATTGCTAAAAACTAGAGGAACCATAAAGAATGACAGACATGAGCCGTTTTTGCCTCAGTTCCTTAATAATAAGTGGGGTCAAGCGCACCTCTGCAGCACCTTTCAATCGTCAAAGTCGCGTTTCGCACTTCTTGCTTGCTTGATAGAACTCCTCTTCATCTTCTCCTCCTTCCAGCGCACTTTGTCGGCCTTCATAAGGTCTTGAACTTTTTTTTTCTGCTCTAGGGAAGTAGGGTTTTTGACCAAACTAGATGCTGCCTCCAAGACAATGGTATGCAACTAAAAAAAAATTGATCTTGATTTATTGTGAATTCTACGGAAGGCGTACCTTGTCGAGACAATCTTCAACATTCTGGGACTGTGAGCGGTGCACAGTTGAAGTAATAAGAATAGAATGCGACGAGGCGACGTAATGAGGCTGAAAAGCGACACGAATCATGAGTAAAATGGACCACAAGAGGAATCCAAGTGCTCATACGTTCTGGATGAGAGCGGGGTGGCTCCAGCGTGGGATCCATGAAGCATTGACCGAGCATCTTATTGTCGCCTTTGTGTCAACTTTGTTCACATTCTGCACAGCAAACCGCAATCAGAAGGTAAGAGCACCGACGATCAGCACTCGCATAGTACCTGTCCCCCGGGACCAGAACTCCTCGAGAAAGAGATGTCAACAAGGTCCTTCGTTACCTGCACATCGGGTGCAGTGAATTCCGAAACCCATTTCGATGCAGCTGCATGCTGTTTCTCTGTCGTCAATTGAGAAAAGTCCGGTGGTTCAGGGAGAGATCGTGAGGATGCACTTGGCGCGGTCTGCATTAACCGCGGAAGAGGAAGTTGTGCATGTCGAGCTAAAGTTTGGTGGACGCCAGTGCGAACGAGGAGCATCCTCGTTAAACCAATCGCATTGAAGGAAGAAAGCAGAAGATAAACGCTGATAAGTAAACAACACTTGTGCACGGCCGGAACGGGCCGGTCGACAGGCTTTACTTTTTAGGGTTTAAAACGTCGAGTATGTAACAAGAGTTTTATGCGACGCTAAGCGCTGCCTTTATAATTGAGTGCTCTCCTACAGCGACGGGATGTCAAGACCCGCATATTTCGCAACCTGCATGACCCTTTCTGCTTGTCTGATCATAGGTGCGTCGATCATTTTTCCATCTAATCCTACAGCGCCTTTCTTAGATGCATGAGCATTGTGCATAGCACTCAAAATTCTGGCTGCGAGAGCGATTTCTATAGAAGTGCAGACCATGAGCTCTATGCAGAGCCTGAGTTGTAGACGCCAGCAGTACACTCACCGTCTTGCGTAGGCACGAATGTTTTGTTTATCAACTCGACCTGGTTAGGATGTATTGCTTGCTATTGGTTCAGTGTCAGGTCTGGGTGGGAAGAAAAGGAACAACTGAGAGCACCTTTCCAGTAAAGCCAAACTGACGTCCCTCTTGACATTCGTCTTTGAGGACATCAGTGTTTCTGTAGTTGATGCAGACCTTGTTAAAGGAGGTTGAACCTTTGATGTCGCGTAAAAATAGAGGTTACGAACCATATCAATTGCATCAAGCCCGAAAGCTTTGGCTGCAATGACTATCTGTGACCGGGTGAACAGAAGTTCACGTCGAGAACTTGTCCGGATTATCGACGTGTCCGCACAATCTAGATCAATGAGTTACCAGACACTTTTGGTTTCCATATCCAAAAGGAATTTACAATCTTCAGCAGCGAACTATTGAGAAAGTTAGGAAAATACGTTGCAACAGGTCACAACATAGGAAACGTACAAGGAGTGCACCGAGGTTCCCTCCAGGACCACCATGGCTCGATTTCCACGCAGCAATAGCACCCAAATTCCACATCCCCTTAGCACTTTCGATGCTGGGTATAATTTCCATTACTGGCGCATCCGCCGGACGCGACCCAGATATTGCATCAGAGACCACGTCTATATCCGCAGCGGAGTGAATCTTGGGAAGAATAACTGTCCGCACGACCGGTTGGGAGACCTGTATCGCGTGCAATGAGTACATATAACCCATCAATGGCACGAATGTGTCTTAGTTCTTCACAATTTGGCAGATGTCCTCGTGAAAGTAGGGAGTCGAGATGCTGTTCACTCGAGCAGCGACGTTCAATGGATAAAGGCGGTGCATTTCACCCTAGGCACGCAAAGCTGTGAATTATTAAGGACAACCGACGAGACGCATAAATTTGGGATAAAAAGAACACTACATACTTGAAGAAATGCCCTTAGTCGGCTTCTGGCCGCTGCCTTGTCTTCCGGTAAAGGTGAGACGCTATCTTCCAGGTCGTAGATGACGACATCCGAGCCAGAGGTGACGGACTTTTCAAGCATACGTTCCGAGGAGGAGGGAACATAGAGGTAGGACCGCCGCAAGGACGCTTGCGTACTCAAAGTTCTCGAAAGCGCTCCAGCATAAGAATTGTGGTGTCGCGATAGGGTCACCCTGGCCCTTGATGATGCAAGAGACATGTTGAAGGAAGGAAGTGTGCAACAAGGTCCCGTTCAGGTAACGGCCGGCCCGGTAAGTAAGGAAAAGTGCGTCTAATACGGTGGCAAGCCTGCCCTTTCTGACTTGATGGCTCACGAAAGACACCGAGGGGGGGTCCATGCCAAACACCCTGCCAAACACCCTCGAAAGCGAAATCAGCCTTGTCGTCGTCGACGACGACGAGCGCAGCAAGTATATGCTACAAAAATATTTAGGAGTAGCTCTACAATATTAATAAGCATTATTTAGAGAAAAAATCGAGCCCATGAGGCCCAGTAGAGCCAATGCAACACTTTGAAACGGGAAATAGTCTACTTTGCATGCGCGCATGTGGCTGTGCATTTGGGCGCGCGCGCGCTAATGGCGTGTCAAGACGCGGGCATTTATGACGGTATAATCTATTCTTTTAGTCCGCTTCTCCAAAATCCATCGTATCTTTCATGGCGAGAAGGGAAATTAATGCTAATTGTCATATCCCCCAGTTTTCTCAAACCCGTGGTAAGCAGGCGGCTAAGGACAAGCTGTGTGAATCTCCACTGTTGTTCAAGCACGGATAGTGCCTCAGCGCAGGCCTTACATATAAAGTATATCGAGTAATCTCGATACTTATGCTGGTAAGGTCGCCAAGTATTTCATACTACATCCTTGATCATCTAGTCAAACTTACAAGCCCACGGGGAAGGCAGCAATAGTTAATTCAGGAATATCGTGCCCAAGCTTCACAGACTCGAATACTAATAGACGCCGAAGGTGATTGACTTAACGTACATCTATGACACGCCATTAGCGCGCGCGCGCCCAAATGCACAGCCACATGCGCGCATGCAAAGTAGACTATTTCCCGTTTCAAAGTGTTGCATTGGCTCTACTGGGCCTCATGGGCTCGATTTTTTCTCTAAATAATGCTTATTAATATTGTAGAGCTACTCCTAAATATTTTTGTAGCATATACTTGCTGCGCTCGTCGTCGTCGACGACGACAAGGCTGATTTCGCTTTCGAGGGTGTTTGGCAGGGTGTTTGGCATGGACCCCCCCTCGGTGTCTTTCGTGAGCCATCAAGTCAGAAAGGGCAGGCTTGCACTTCTGGGCCACCGTAGTCTAAGTATGTACGAAAATACATACTACTTCTCATCTTACTCCGGACACCAACAACGTCTTCCTACAGTCGTTGATTGGTTGTTGAGTTATGTATGGCTTCTGAGACCCGATGAAATTATGTAAAATTTAAATTATATAGATGCTCGTAATGCTATGGAGGCATGAGATATACAGGTGTAGTAACAGCTTGCCAAGATGATATGGTACAGGGGGAGTAACGTGTGTTAGATCGAAAGCAGTACGAAAGCGAAGGCAGAGTATAAATTACGGTCATTTTCATCATCGTCAGAAAACCTCCTCTGGATAAGAGAGCTCGAGACCAGAAACCGATATCGCGTCGTCATCGACGTCCTTCGAACTCTCCAACAACAGTGGTAAACTCATCTCGGATAGATCAAGCATAGTTATGTCAAAGGCCCGAATGTGATTTGGGCCAATCGTTTTCTGCGGGGGAGTGTCAGGGGCGGGCGATTCTTCCGTCGTTGTACTGCTGACTGTGGATCCTCGCGGTATGGGAGGGGTGGTTCTTGGTTCTAGGGTGTCAAGATGTGTACCAGAAAACAGTTGTTGAGGGGTTCCGCCCTGCAGTGGCCCGTCGATGAGCTCTGCAGTGGAGTTATCCAGAGGTGGTGCTGCTACATCGACGGACATGTGATCTCCAGCCACCTGAGGCAACTCCTGCATGGGTAGAAAGAGACTACTAGAAATTAGAGGCTCGCCAGATGCCGTTGGCATGCCTAGCTCGAAGGTAGCACCCACGCCAGTTGTAGCTGCGGCCGACGATGGTTCAAATGCCGTGGGTTCGACATTCAGATTCAATTCCTCGGCATTGGACCCAGGACCAACAGCGAGAGAATCGTCCGACTTCGCTGGATTGACCCCCAAGGAAATAGCGTTAGGTTCAAGAGCGTCGGGGGCATCTGATTTGTTTACTTGAACATCGGGTGCCTGAGCAGCATCCACAACTTCTGTTTCGGACACGACGCTGCTTGAAGCCACGGGGTTGCTTGGGTGTACGGTTACAACAGGAGCAACAAGTTGAGCAACGGGCAGGTTGGGAGATACCGGCGACGCTGCAAAATGCCAGAAGGTTAGGACTTGGAATACCATGTTTAAGTTAGCGCACCAAATGCCTTGGAAGCTCGCTCAGAGAGCAAGAGCTCAACAAGCTTCCGAGAGGAAAGGACGGCCTTTTGAACGAGGCCATCGGGTTCTATTGTTTGCCCATGTGGTGCTTCCTTATTTTGTTGGCGTGCGTCGGAGCTGACTTTTGCTGGGGACTCTGATTGTACTGGTCCCGAAGAGATAGGTACTGGATTTTGAAGCTGGGGCATCTTTGTTTCTTCAGCTTGAGAGACATCTGATTGCTCCAACTCCAACGAATGCGTGACTTCAATTTGCATAGTATCATGGCGCTCAGGTTGTGATTGAACCTGTACTTCTGAAAGTTCATCAGGAACTGTAGCAGGTCCTGAAGAAATTGAAACCTCGTCGGTGTCCATACTGTCAGAGATTGTCATGCCCGTCTCTTCTCTGGAATCTTCTCCAGAGTCTTGATCACGGTCGTTATCTGACAATGTGCTAGACGAGACACGATGGGCCTCTTCCGGTGAACGAGAGGGAAGGGGGGTGCTGGAGGTGGGCTGAGAAATAACAACCTTTTTAGACGACTTGCGACGAGCAAAAAGTTCAAGAGATTTTGCAGCTTTGGAGAAAAATATAGAGGTGTGCAATGCGGGTGTCGGTAAGTGGTCAGCATATTTGATTTGACGAGGTGAGCGTTCGACTGTTGCAGAGGTAAATGGCGAGACGAATGGAATTGCAGATTCAGGCTGCCGGGGTAGAGACTCAATTTCGTCCATTGCAGGGTCTAACTCTTGGGTATCGACGGTCCTGTTGGGCTCTGGTGATACCTCAGGACTTGCGGTAGGAGGGGAAACAGGGGGTGTTGTCGCGCGGACCGTTGTTTGTTGGGTTGTCGATATAGGGGGGGGAAACTGGTCAGTAGCTGGTAAAACAGGCGAGAACCGAGGTTGAGTTGTAGATTTCACAGGCTCTGCTTCGTCACTGCTCGACAGTATGACGATAACATCACTCTCAATCACAACCTTTGTCTTCGTGGGAGATGAAGTAGGTTCCTCATCGGAACATAGGTCAATCACTCCAGTCGCCTTGCTGAAGTCGTGCCTTGATTTTGCGCGTTTTCTCGGGGGCTGTGGCCGAGTGTCCCCTTCAGAACCGGAAGATAGTTCGATAGCACCTAAGTACACTGGAACTCGCTTCAGGGTATGAAGGGGCCAGTCTCAAGGTAAATAACAAACCTGAGTGCTTCGTTGACGTTCCTTTGCCTGAAGACAGATAAGACAATGAGTAATAATCAAAAGGAGAGAACACACCTTTATGAGTCGGTCCCTTGGCGTCTGCAAGTTTTCGCTTCTTTGCAGCATAGTAGCGCGGCAGAATGGACGGAGGTGGTGTTTTATCAGAGTCGGAGTCAGACTCAGAATCGGTATAACGTCTGCGCTGCACAGCGGCTTTCTTGAAAGTTGGACGGGAAACACGCGCTGAAAGTCGGGTGGGTGCCTGTGAAGCTGCTGTGGGTTTTCGGGGGGTTGAGGGCCCAGCAACAGCATTCTCTTGCGTCGGTCTCGCTTTGAATTGCGTCGGTTTTGGCTTCGCGGATATCGCGACAGACGTGGAAGAATCGCGTGTAGCGGAAGATTTCTTTGATTGTGTTCCTGCTCGCGGAGGTTCATTGGACTAATTACAACGACAGTATTGACAACTTGCCTTGGTTTCCGACGTCCGATCCCTGGAGTTTCTTGGATTTGACTTGCTTCGCGGGTGTAGCACCGGCTGATGTGATCGATTTGCGTTTTTTAGCGGGAGAGGGCGTTAGGAGCTCGTCCATCATGGACTGGGAGGAAGAGCGCTCAGAGTCAGTACTACTGACGGATCGATCTGCAAATGTGGTAAGTATAGCCGGCCCGGCCGAGATGCCTACCGCCGAAATTCCCACCTTCGCACTCCAGGACACACCATGTTGGCAGCCACGGCGATCTCTCTCGTCCGAGCATTGAGGAAACAAAGAAACGGGGGTCTTACACTGCAGACTCGACTGTAAATAGCGCTTTGACCGACCTGTCAAGGCTGTCGACCTTATTTCGAAGGTGGACCGTGATCACGTTCTCACTCGATGACCCGCAATAGGCCTTGCCCTGTGTAGACTCTGCGCATCCTTTCTCATTGCTACGAACTTACCCCGCACATTCCATTTCTCCAGACAGATGTGCCAACGAAGGGCAGAACTCGTCTGACTCGATCGTCAACCAATTGCGCCATCGTGCACATCAAGCACGCTTGGAACACATTCTCCCCAACATCCTTCAACGTCAATTTATTGCCTCCAGCGTCCACAAATTTAGTTACGAACCCCGACACCGACGTGAAAGACGTCCACTACGAAGCTTTCAAGATTTTTTTCCCGCTACTGGCACCACCATTCTCACTGTCAGGGAAGGCCACCTGTATTTCATTTCGCTTGCTTGTTGAAGGGATGGAATCTACCCCTCCGATACCCCATCGTGCGAGCACCTTTCGTGCTACTTTCATACGTTCCGTCCCTAATGTCGAAACCAGCGTCATTGAGCCGCAACCTCCAGTCTGAAGCATCGCCCCAGCTTGTCCATTCCCTTCACGAAACACGGAGCTCGGTTCTGAGCTTAGCCGCAGACAATACCCATATCTTCTCCGGAAATCAGAACCACGACATCTCCGTGAGTACTCAACATCCCCTGTGATAACTCGACCAACACGTTTGTAGGTCTGGGACAAACGTACTTATGTACTAAAGGCGACTTTACGTGGACACACTGGAAGCGTGTTGGGCCTTGAATACGCGAAGGACAAGAAGTGGCTATTCAGCTCGTCAGGTGTGCTATAAGTAATCTTCAATGTGGTCGGGTTCATTGAATACACGCAGGGGACAGTACCGTCAGAGTACGTTCATTGTCTTCGTACACCCCACCCCCACCATTCATGTCGTTCTAGGTCTGGTCCACGGAAACACTCCAGCTACTATATGTCATCGACCCTTACTTGGAGAATTGTGCAGGAGACCTCTTTTCTCTCGCCTGGTCGTCCGCACTGCAGACGATCTTTGTCGGGTGCCAAAACACGTCTCTCCAGTGGTACAACTTCAGAGAACTCTCCAAGGCCATCTCCGGCGACAGCCTATCATCTCTTTCTTCCTTTTCGGGAACCTCGACACCAACATATTCGTCTTCAAGGAAGGCACATAAATTCTTCGATAGCTACCCACAGTACGAGAGGAGGCCGGCGGACATATACGCCAACAATGGGACCCCCATCAGAGCTCATGGACGCGGTAGCCCAGAGTCGGATGGTTCCGATATACCACCACCACGAGAATTCTTAGGCATTCCTGCTTCAAATGTCGTTGACTCAGCCCATTACGGTTATATCTACTGTATGACTGTCCTGACTGAACGCGAGCATGGAGTCCAGCTCGCAACTGGTAGTGGAGACGAGACAGTTAAGGTTTGACGATCCCGTTAACGGCGACTGACCTTACTGACCAAAGATTGAACGTTTAGCTGTGGTCGTGTGAAACTGGCTTGCCTGAGCTAGTGCATGAGTTTAGCTGCAACCATGGGGCGGTGTTAGCCCTTGTTGCAAAGGGCGACACTGTCTATGCTGGATGTCAGGACGGATATGTGAAGGTCCTTGACCTTGAAACTCGGACTCTTGTCAGGACTATTATTGTTCAAGAGGTATTCTTCGTTGCATGGCATCACCACCACAGCTACTGACCGTTATGCAGGGTATTGACATTCTTGCCATGTCAATGTTGGATTCCGATCTATACACATGCTCTGCCAATGGCTGGGTCAAGGTTGGTTGCTGAGTTGAAGAATATTCTATTTTTCTTTCTCAAAAAATATAGCGCTGGTCCGCTTCCTTTGACCGTACTGCGTCATGGCAAGCACATCAAGGAATAGCCTTGTCGTCCATTATCGCCAGACGGAATGGTTCAAACGAAAGTGGCTTTTGTCTGATCACCGGGGGGAACGATGATCACATAAATGTATATATAATATATATCTACCTCTAAATTTTCTTACAATTTGGCCAATAGGTATGGGACGTTGTGCCTCCAAAGATCCGCCTCGCGCGTGTAGATGGCGATGGAGAGGAGAGCAGTCAGTCGTGCATCGGCTCAGGCTCGTTCAATGGTGCGTCTTCAACTGTGGTCGATCCTTGTATTCTCATTACTGCCTCAGATACCATGCTCTATGCCCTTGGGAAATTTGTTACCATCCCGAGTATCAGCTCCGACCCATCCCACCGCGAAGACTGCCGTCAAGCCGCTATCTGGTTGAGAAAGTGTCTTGGACAGCTCGGGGCCCACACATTTTTGGTTCGTTTTCAGTCACGAGCTGGACCTACCTGAAGGATTCTGACCTAAATTTTCAGCTTCCCACTGGAGAAGGGAACAATCCCATCGTCCTTGGAACTTTCAAAGGATCTATGAGCCATAAGCCAAAACGACGTATACTTTTCTACGGGTAAGACATAATTCTTGCCTGCTCTTGTATTCGGATTTGACAAGGATTTAATGATAGCCACTACGATGTCATACCCGCTCCTCCAGACGGCTGGAATTCGGATCCGTTCATTGCGTCTGGGCGTAATGGATACCTGTACGGACGTGGTGTCACCGACGACAAGGGCCCTATCATTGCAATGGCATGCGCGGCTGCAGATTTGCTATCTAGGCGAGCTCTTGAAGTCGATCTAGTCTTTCTGGTTGAGGGAGAAGAGGAATCCGGAAGTACTGGGTTTGGAGACGCAGTTCGAAAGCATAAGGTCTGTTCACGTTGTGACGAGAATGTGGGTTGCAGCTCACAGCTTTCAGAACCTCATTGGCGACATAGATGCAATTATCGTCAGGTCAGCTCCTTGTTTCCGGACGAAGGACGGCATTGACTCGGCGATTCCAGTAATTCTACGTGGATAGGAGATGATCGGCCTTGCATTACGTATGGCCTTCGAGGAGTTGTGCACTGCGGCCTTGAGGTAAGAGTAATACCCGATGTATCTGTGCGGGTGCTGACGATCTTTTCGGCCAGATCTCTAGTGACAGACCCGATTTGCACTCCGGCCTTGAAGGAGGTGCGGTAGTCGAACCCATGGTGGACATGTGCGCGTTGAACGTCTTCATTTCGGGCTGCATTTGACTTACCATCTGCAGGGTTAAGCTTCTCGCCACGCTCATTGACAATAATAGGGTTGTCCAGATACCCGCTTTCTGTAAGATACATTCTTTCGGTGGAGCAACAGGGTCTAAATCAATGGCATCCAGATGATCAGGTCCGCGAGCAGACCGAAGAGGAGAAAGAGCTCTATAAGTTGCTTTCCGATGTCACGCAACGGCCTGCCTCCCTTCTATCCTCTCGTTGGAGAGAACCCTCACTGACAGTCCATAACATTGGCATATCTGGTCCAAGAAGTCAGTCTTCGCTGGTTTCCGAAGAAGTGAATAATCTAACACCTTCACAGATGCAACTGTAATACCTGGTACTGTAAAGGCGCAAATCTCCTTGCGTATCGTCCCTGATCAAGATCTGGACACCATTGTCAAATCTCTGCGCGAGTATCTCCATAAATCGTTCGAGCAGTTCCGTTCACCAAATCATTTGACGGTATGACTGGTCTTCCGTGAATCACGCTTTCCCTCTTATGCTCTGTAGGTCACTGTGGATCACACAGCAGATTGGTGGCTTGGAAGGCTAGATGATCATTGGTTCAAGTCGTTAGAAAGTGCTGTGCGCGAAGAATGGGGCGTCGAACCTCTGCGCATCCGTGAAGGAGGGGTATGTTTCCCCTTTTAATGACAATCGAGTTCTGTACCTTCATTTATTTTTCCAGTCTATACCCTCCGTACCATACTTAGAAAAGGAATTCGGATGTCACGCGCTGCACCTTCCAATGGGACAGAGCTCGGTAGGTTGTCGGTTTTCTCCGTGTATTTCGTTTCTTACAGCCCGTAGGATCAAGCCCATCTCCCAGATGAGAGAATATCGATCATCAACCTCCACAAAGGCAAGGCAGTCATCGAACGTTTCCTACTCAAGGTAGCAGACAAAAATGCATTTGAAACTTTCGCTCCATGAATTGTAGTCTCTTACACAGACGATGGGACTTGGGTGATGTATTGCCCTTCTCTACATGCCTGCGGTGATTCCCGTAACCTATTCTGCAAAGCATTGTTCAGGTCTGTTCAACGTCCGTTACAAGACTTCTCCCACTCCAGCCTTCTGGAAACCTAGACAACCATGTACTCTATAATTATTCTAATTCGTACTACACCCCCTTTGAGTCACCAGATGATCAGGATGTTGAGAGTGACACAATGCCTTCTTCGATCAGCCTTGTTCTGAGAAGATAAAGAAGTAAGAACTTTTTCGGCAACATACAGTCGGTAATGAACATTTCGACAACTTTTGTCATATTCATGCGTCAGTGGTAAGTCGCCTTGATATGATATGTGAAGTTACTCGAAGAGAGCAAGGTATTGCCAGTACTCCATCCAAGCCAGCGCGAGATCGGCACCGGACCGTCGGACCGTCTGTTGTCAACGGCTCACTCCGGCCCGTCCAGAGGTTAGTTTGAACCGTTATTCTTCAGAGCAACTTCAGTCTTTAAAACCCCTGCGCTACAATTCAATCACAAATGAATGCCCCATACACGAGGCTTGTTTTTCCACATTTTTTCCTTGAGCTAGAACTAAGAAGACTGGTATTTTTTGCGTGAGCATCCCTCCAAGCTTTCCAAACTGGGCGCATGCATTTCCGGCGACGCGTCACTTTCAAAGTATCCGCCATCATCTGGTTAACATTCAAGAAATCTAAGTGTAAAGTGAATCCGTCCTCAACACCCTAATGTCCAACACGATTTTACCTCCATCCGGTGAACAGAAGGCGATCCGATGGTATCCTCCATCGTACGACATTCGAATCGAAACAGTTCCCATTCCACAGTACGGACAGCCCCTTTTTTTCTTCAATTTCAAGCAGTGCAATGTTGTGAATAACAGGATTCTGCATCCTGATGATGCGATAGTGAAAGTTCAAGTCAGTAAATCCTCTACGCCTTACCCTGTAACAGAGGATTGGGCTGATCGATGTGAGAATAGTTTGCGGCTTTGTGTGGTGAATTGCCACGCCGTGCTTATATCGGGTCACTGCTGAACACCGTAATTCAGGAAGCGATCTCCATATTTATCGGGGCCACGGAGGCGTGAATAAAGAGTATGTCGCTGGCATCCTCCTGCTTCAGGGGCTCACAGCCGTGTTGAGAATAGCCATACCTGTGGGCACGAGTTTATCGGAGCAGTCGTCGCCCTCGGCCATAGCTATGGGGGAGACAACACAGGAAGACCTTCCCTCTATTCCACCCTCAAGATCGGCGACAAAGTCGTCTCCCCGTTCACCGTGAACTGTGGGGAATGCCAGTAAGCCTATGAAATCATCTAATAGTTGGTGCCGTCCGCTAAAGCATGACCGACTTACGACAGCGCGTGCCGTCTTGGTTATACAGGAAGGTGTCCAGAAGGGTTCCTGTTTGGATCCCCTGCCCTCGAAGGCGGACAAGCACAATACGTGCGCGTTCCTAAAGGGGGAGGGACTTTGTTCAACTTGAGCGACCCTTCGACCTGGTCCAGCAATCTCTCGAATAAGGAAAAGGAGAAGGCACTCACAACACTGTCAGATAGCTCCTTGTTGATGCTTGCTGATATCCTTCCCACCGGCGTCTTTGCTGCGCTCCAAGTAATCAACCATCCGAAAGTAGCGCCTATCATCACTGGTAAACCCTGGCCTATGTGCTTCTCTAAGGATGACGCACCCTCTAGCAATCAAATCAGTTTGACGGACGAAGACAAAATCTTGACGGTCGCTGTCATTGGCTTGGGGCCTGTGGGTATATGTGCCACCGTCAGCATGCTTGACCTTCTCGCGACGCGCCAAATTCCTTACAAATTCGTTGCTGTCGATCCCTTGGAGTCACGACGAGAAAAGGCGGCGGCCGTATACAACACGATCGATACTGCCTGCAAGGCAAACGGCGAATTTGCGGTCTGTTCGATCGACGAGGCTAAGGACAAGGTGAAGGAATGGACCGGTGGTGTGGGGTGTACGGCGGTTCTAGAGGTGGGTACACCGAGTGACTGCTTCTGTTCGATTTATCAGACTCAGTTAGGTGGTCGGAAATACGAGCGCTCTCACCCTTTCATATGACCTCATCCGCGCCTTTGGGGTGATCGTTTCTGTCGGCGTCCACGGGGAACCACTCCTTCCCTTCACCGGCCGTCAGGCCTACAATAAAAATGTGTCCTTCGACTTCGGACGGTGCCCTGCACGTGCGATGTTCCCTCCTGCATTTGACCTTCTAGGTGACGATATTTCCCGCCGTGCTTCTCGCAGATTTTCTGATGTCTTCAAAGTTAAGAGGCAGGATGTCTTCGGGGGGATCGGACAACCAGCGAGCCTCATCGACCGAGTCGTTGATTTCAGTCAGGCGGTCGATATTTATCGAGCGTTCGATAAGGGAGAAGTAGGGAAGGTGATATTTGACCCTTGGCGAGCTTAGGCCTGAATATATTTCCAAGGTTTAGTCTTGAAGTGGGGATGGTCAATGATCTTTAAATGATCTGCCTTTGAAAGAACTTCGTTTATACCTGATACAGTGATGTAGGATTAGAAATTACTCGAATTTTGCCTTCAACTTGCATGGCTTCAAAAAGGCTGGGTACCGCGGCGATTTGGGGTTGTCAGGCGGCGCGAGTTCACTGACACGGCTAGCATTATGACCATCCCATAAATAGGGATCCCCCCACAGGCGTACACAAAGACCCCAGGAATCGCCACGCGTCGGCAATATAAGAAAAGAAATATATTGGTTGGGTAGAAAGATGATGGAAACCCTGACCACCCCGACATATCATCGGCGAACTTCGTTGCAAGATCAGACAGCAATTATGATTTAATAAAGGGGATCCTGATTCCTGAGAGAAAATCCTTTCGAACATTGAAGCCCATTATGTGCCGGGATGCAACCCACGTCGCAACCCGCGTTATGACCCACCGATCATGATACGAAGTAAAACAACGTGGTACAGAGCCGTGGAGAACAGACTCCGGGATGAGTCTGGTGGAGACGGAACGGTTGTAATGAATGGTTTAAAAGGAAAATTGCCATATGCATTCCCAAGGCGAAAATTGAGCGTCTGCTAGGGTCACTCGAGGGGGACTAGAAGAGCTTGAGAGTATGTGGAGCATGACTATGGGGCGAAAGAAAACTGATGATGCGACCTGGAGGTTTTGTCTTGGGATTGTCGGAAAACTGGATGGCAAAGATGAAGAATGCCACGTTAAACATTGCCGATGAGAGGTGCCTTAGAAAATTGACATCTGTGAGATGCGTGATGGAATTCTGCCGAGCGGAAGTTAGGCTTGAAGGAGATAGGCCATGATTCCCTTGTAGCTTAAATCCGTTGAAGGCTCTGTCGCGACCGTTCCATGTGAACTTGCAACGCTTTCCTGATATTCGCGACTAGCTTCTCTCCAAGTGCTCCCAGGACGGTAGATTGGCGACAGAAGGCAGTTCATCCCAAATCTGTTGGCGAAGGGTTGACGCTTTTGTAAAGAATTCAGAACGACATACAGCGCAAAGCGCAAGGTCACTGCTGACATGTTGCATCGTCTGCAAAATAAAGTGGAGGGGACCCGTTCTGAATGTCCATGACTTATGGAGTTTGGACACCAGGTGAGAAAAGGCTTTACCACATGTCGGGACGGAGTTACAGGGGGGATTAGTCGACCTTACCCCGCAGAACTGACGAATAAAGTTTGAGATAAGCTGGAGACGGTGCTGGAACATTAAACTGTACAGCAGAAGGTCTTGCGATGTTAAGGAGGATGACGGTTTCGAAGTGTGTGGAATGAGGAGTTTTGGATGGTCGGCCTTCATCAAGTCAGCCAGTGGATATAAAGACAGAAAATATAACGCGGAGGGAACAATGACGCTGCTGTCAATTTCTCTCGCCAGATTGAGAACATGCAATGGATGGACATATGGGTATGTGAAACCATCGGCGGAAGAAGAGCTGAGGGCGTTATCGAGCATTGCATCATGTCCCTTCAATGTGGTCCCCCAGGTTTGACTAAGAAATTCGATGCCCTGCCGGCGTAGTTGCCCAATGAAGTATTTATTGGCGAGTCGCAGGATGCCAGAGAGATAGAAGAAGTCGTCGATTTGGGCATTCGCAAATTTCCTTCGCGGGGTGTTTGAGCAAGGCCTTAAAGATTATTGGAATGACGTACGGTCCGTCGTATAGCGCCATGACAAGATTCGATAATTCCTGAGGCTGGTCGTGCATCACTACAACTTGACAACCTTCAAAGTAAAGGGTATCGGATTCTTCAGTTTGGGGTAATTCGAGCATATCCTTAAATATTTCTGAATGCCGTTCCTAGGAGCCTACCATTCAACCCATGTCTATCGTGGAAAGGCTCATATAACGTACAAGAACTCCTCTGTGCAACCGAAAGGCAGTGGGTTCGTCGTGGGTCACCAGAACGATATTGCCGTCTTTGAACCAAGGCTAAAAGACGCAGTTGAGTCGACGCTCAGGGCACAGCTCAGGAAATGAGGTGCTTACCTCTCCTCTGGCAATGACATCTCGTCTTCCAATCGATATTCTGCGATTTTGCGCCACTTCCATTAAAACTGGCGCGTTTTCAAGTGAAAGCGTTCAGCAGATGCTAACTGGCAAGACGCAACTAACTAATGGCCCATTTTTCCGAAACAGGAAGTAATTTCACACAGCTATTATCTTATGGTCAAGTCTTCACGCCAGCACCTCTAACATCCTCCATGACGGAGACTCCTCGCTCTCGCTCCATATCTCGTGCGAGTACTCCGGGTCTTTCACGCCCTTCCCCATCACGTCTTACCATATCCCCGAGTCTTCGCCCAACACCCTCCCTATCCAACCTTCACATCCATGGTCACGCCTCGACACCAGCGGTTGACATACCTCCGCTGCCTGCGAGAGTTGTCGACAACATCCTAGACAGCTCAGCGTCATCTGTCATTGATATGGATCCAGCAGAGGGTATTCTAGTCCAAGATATCGATGCTGACGCCGAACATACAGACGCGGAGGACGTTGAGACGATTGACAAGTCAGGCATGGTGGCTATTCAGGATGAGGGCCCAAAACAGATGCTCAGGGATCAGTTGAGAAAGAGTTTGAGCCAGAGAGCAACACTTCCAGGTCAGCTTATGTGTTACATGGTCCGTACTATGCTTTTATCCCTTATCTACTCGAAGAAAGCCCTCGCAATCGGTCAGGTGGGAGGCTCGCACAAGCGCAAGATCTCACCTTTGATGAAGGTGGGGAAAATGCATGGGACCATTCGAAGGATCTGATTAACGATAAGAATTCAGCAAGCCTATATCTACCAAGAGAGTATTTCGTGCTCACTGATGCAGGAAAGCCCGTCTTCATCAGGTGCTTGTGCTATTCTCCGCCGCTTTTATATCTGCTCATGCGAACCCTTATCTTAGCCGCCCTGGAGGAGACCAGGATGGCATGGCCTCTACAATTGGCATCATGCAGGCCTTGATATCTGTCTTTCTGGACGACAATGACAAGCTCCGTGCTATTAATGCCGGACGGACACGGATAACTTTTCTCCTACGACCACCACTATATTATGTCTGCGTATCATCATGGGGAGAACCTGAATCAGTGGTGTGTGCTGTCTTTTTGTCCTGTAATATCCGCTGATCGGGCCTCTCATCCGCTTCTTCGACTTTGTGAAGAAAGACACGGTCACACCTTGAGTATCTCCACTTGCAAATTCTAAGCATTGTCAGCAGCGCTCAGCTCAAGCGAATATTCGAGCGAAGAACAAATTTTGATTTGCGGCGACTTCTCCATGGTACTAACCCATTCTTCTGGAAACATTCCTCTTTGATGTCTTTCTTTCCCTTAAGGGGCGGAAACGTTCATGAACTCGCTGCTTCTGAGACTAGAAGCTGACATCTCTATGAGCTTGTCATCTCTACACTGCCTTAAGATGGAGCCCGGTTTACGGAAGCGGCTTGCTGATTCACTGGTTCCCAGTTCGAAGATGAAGGTGTGTATTGACTAGCTCGTTTTGACAGCCTTCGTGGTTACCTTGTCCTCAGGACATGCTGTACATCATTTTAATTGCTAACCACCGGGTCGTCACACTAGTCAGACCAAGGAAGCACTCGATCCACCCGTCCGGCAAGTCCAATGGAATGATTTCCCGTCGCCGTCTAATCGTGCGCTTGCAGACCTCCATATCATCATGAACACCATCCATTCACCTTCGATATTCAATTCTCCTGCCTCCGCTTCATGGATCCCTGTGTGTCTTCCCAAATTCAATCCAGCCGGTTTTGTCAATACGTATATCACCTTTCTACGGAAGGACAACACAAGTCAGCCCCAGGAAACGCCTATAGCCTTATCGAGCGACGACGCCAGTTCCCCTGTCTCTGAAGAGAGCTCTTCTAGCGGCAAATCTGACTCTCAAGAAGGACTCAATGAGTCCGGGATCGCCCTAGTTTGCGTCAGCGTGGGGGGCGACTTTGATCTAATCAGAAATTGGTGTGACGCCGTGGTATCTGTGAGGTCCTCCTTTTATGTTCTCCGGCCACTATAATTGACCATTTCGACAGAAAATGACGGCAGATGGGACGTTGGATGCACTCGTTCATGCGTACCAAGCTAAGGAGATGGACTATTCTGTGTCTGAATTGGGAATCCCGGGTTTACGACACTTCGTCTACAAGTCCCGAACGCAAGTTCAAATTACGCTACCAACCTTTGAGGACCCATACGACCAAACAAATGCTCGAAAGCGGTCAGTTTTTCCCTTGCTGTCGGAGGAACATGGGTTTGAGCAGTGTGCCAGGATCATGACACTCTATCAAGTCCTTCACGATTCAATACATGCTAAGTCAGGGCAGGATGGGGGACTGAAGCTTCAATATATTCGCACAGATATGGAGAGCGTGATGGGATGGGTACGTCATTGGTCCAGCCAGCTCGATTTCGTCGACTCATTCTATATCTAGATTACACAACCGTTCGAACTCTACATCGCACTATCACCCCTTTTACCGAAGAGCGCCGCTGTTGGTGCAGCTAATGCAGTTGCAAGATGGGTTAAGCGAGAGGAGGCTCGGTTGTTCTTGCGAGATGCACCGGTGTTCTGAATGTATTATTATCATTTTGGCATTAAATCGTAAGTCTATGCAAGTAAAGAACCCTATTTCCTCTTCTTTGACCGCTCCTTTTCCTCCGGCCAAGGGCCGTCCTCTGGGTACCAGCTGTGCCGCTTGTAGAGGAAGTCAAACATATGCGTCGAATATGTGCCGTGGAGCTTGACCGTTACAGAAATCAGGAACACGTTCTCGTTCGCGCCGAGGAGCTTCAAACAATTCATCATGTTCGGTCGCGCTTCCTGAGTGCTCTCATTGAAGTTCATCCTGCTATCTACTTCTCTCGTGAATGCCTCCTCGTGTTCTTCTGTTACAACGCGGACGGGAAGTTTCTGCGCCACCGGCTTGCCATTGGCATCTTCACTATAGGTGGGAGCGAACGGCATTGGGTAGAATGAGATGTGATCGACGACAGGAAGCGCTTCAAGAACACGGATCGCCTCGTATAGTTCATTGAAGTTCTCGAAATAGAACTCTATGCAACCTCGTCGGCCTTGACGCTTCCAGTGGAGGAATTCTTTGTATAAGGCTGCGCTGTAGTCGAGAATACCGCGAACGAGCCAGATGAGCTGCGTCATTTTCTTCTTGATTTGAACGACCGGGACTTCGCCGTTGTTCTTTGCGGTTTCTGCCCAGATTTCGCAAAACTCCTTGTGAGTTGGCCAGTGAGCTTTTTGACAATCCTGTCATAGCAAATCATTCGGACTTTGTTTCATATCGAGGATCAACGGTGTAGGATCGTCACCTTGTCGCAATAGTGAGCGGTCCTGAATTAGTGAGGTGAACCTCAGTCACCGAAGTGCAAGCGAGAAGAAAACACCAACTTGCAACGTGCACACTTGAGAGGGGCCTTCTCATTTATCGTATTAAAGTATTTGCACTTCGGATTATAACAAGATTTAATATTCTTCGAAGGAGGAAGAGGAGCCATGGTGGTTGGGAGCAAAGATTGTATCAGAAGCCTCATGCCTTGAAGTGACACGGGATGAGAGCTTCGTCACGGACCGTTGCTTACCTTCAACCAAAATGGCCTCCATGCTCGCGAGCTTGCAGCGCGGGCTTCCGTCCCGCGTTTTCCCTTCTTTCCCCTCTCTTACACGCTCATTTATATCCAGAGCGGCGAAACGACCACTTCCAGCCAAACGCGACCCAGCAACAACCGTCCAAGGCACCTCGCCAGCACCTTACCCTCTAGAAACCATCCAAACACCAGAAGATTTCTTGACAGCTATTGGTCGCCAGGCGGAAGCCAAGATTACTGCGTCGACATGGGGGGATTTCTGGAGGATGGACGGGCGTACCATGAAGGCCGCGGGGGTTACCGTGCGGGACCGGAGGTGAGTTAGAAACTTCGTTCATCAAGGTCGCTCGGCTGACAGACGCATCTGTACAAGATACATCTTATGGTGTATGGAGAAGTATCGCCTCGGCTCTCCTATAAGAGAATTTGCACACGAAGTGCCTCCAAAGAAGACCATACGAGGGTATCCACCTTTCTCTCGCATTTGGCCTTGCGGCATTTTGACAAAACCTTCCACAGTTGGGGTCCCAAAGTTCAGAACGGCAAACGGATACGCTCCCGGCGGCTAAAAAATCAGAAATAGTCCGGTTCATGTTAACCTTGACCGCTAATGGCTTAATAGATGCTTTCATCTTGCAATGTTCTAATGTTCTAAGTTGGGACGGCAATGAATTACGAAGGCAACGAAAGGATCTACTGATACATGATTAGACGAGGTGCGAGGTGAAGAAGGGTCGGCAACCTGGTTACAACGCTAATTATACAAGAGTTCGAAAGGGAAGACCAAAGTTCAGGTGAGAGACTTTTTGACTAAACTTGGATGCATATTAGTGACTTGGTCATACCAATCAAGATATCGCTGACTTACCAAATGGGAGCGAGGGGGACAGCATAACCGAGAAGCCTCGACGATCGCCAGAACCTTGAGGGGAGGGGATTAAAGGTGGCCGCTGATGCAAGCCATATTGGGATTGTCGAGATGCCTCTTCAGAGCGTCGCCACGGCTGAAGGAACGCATGCACCCTCCGATCCACTTTTCCCCCTTGAATGTGTATGGCTTGGCGTCAGGCGGGATGAGGAAGCCAGCGGACTGGTCCAGTGGGACCCCCCTGCACCAAAATCCCTGGTCGTGGTTGTTCGCGCTCGGACGGATGTGGGTTTTCAAGTGACGCTTGAAGTCAGGTAAGCGCCGGTTCGTCTGTTTCCAGGAACACTCCGGACACTGAAAGTTGGTCTTCTCTATCGCGTTGTTGCGCACCACGTCCTTGATCTGGCTGGAGATGTCACCAGTTGATTGTGTGTTTCGTGAAGGGGGCGACATGCGAGGGCGTTTGGGTGCGCGTGAGGATAGGCTGGGTTTTGGAGACGCGGAGGGGCTGTCAGTTATGTCTGACCAGCGATCGAGCAGGACACGATTGGGGCGTTGGCGCTTGCGCGAACCAGCGATTGGGTGGAAACTTTCGTCTGAATCGCTGTCTTCCTGGTCAGAGGAGGGCGAGTATAAGGAAGGGGGACGGGACGAAGGTGCAGCTGCGTCCTTCACGATCTTCTTTGGGGCGACCTGCTGCATATCTTTCAACGCAGAGGAGGTTTGAAGTATCCGAGGGTCAACCTTGGTCTTGAATGAAGTCCAACTTGAAGCATAAGTCTTGGCTAGAACCTCCTGGTCGTTCCTGAAACGCAGTGAGCTAGCGTGAATCACGTCATCGTTGAACTTACGAAGCTGTGTCCTCGTCGGAGGGCGTCGACGGCAGGTCAATATCATAGTGAATCATGGAGGAGTTGGAAATCTGCGAGGACGTGGATTGTGGCGAGAGCGACGCGTCGTTATGGACCAGTGGGCTATCTAGTTCGTCGAAGGGATAGGTCGGAGGGATATGACAGAACTTATCCTCGTCGAAGAACATGTTGAGCTCAGGTTCAAAGTATGTGCTGTAGTCGAAGCTGGACATGGTGGGCAAAGGGGGCTGATTTTGGGGCTTTAAGGCGCGTCGGGACGGCTAATTTATAGAAAAGGGCCTTCATTGGTGACCTGATAACCCAGAGGGCACTCGCTCCGACCTTCTGCGCCCCCGGCAAATACGCGTCTTTGTCCGTCAAAGCTGCACGTGACTATTTTGGCCTCTGAGCCAATCATATCTAATCTCTCGCAAACTGCCGCGAACACGTTTATGTGCAGCATGGAAATGTGTCATTGTCTCGGGATATTCCGCGAACACGAGGCGCGCCCGACGCTTTGACAAGCTGATCCACTGCTTAGTCATAATCACATCCCTCTTGACAGTCTCCCAAGAGTTGGCGGCCATAGCTCGTCTGCCTATCCACAGGAAGCGCCCAAAATCGACAAATGAGTGTTGCATATGATGCTTTTTCATTGTATGTGATTTTTTGTGCGGAAAGAGGCGGGCAGTGTTATTGGGAGAGTCTTTTGTACTCTTTGTGATAAAGTGTCGCACGTAGCCAAATCTGGGATTTCCCTTCCGCTAGCACTTAAATACATGGAATGGAGGGAGGAGGTTTATCGGCGGTTCGAGGCAGGTCGGCTTTCTTAGGACGCTTCATCATGAAGGAGAACGTACTCCTTCGTTGAGAGACCGAACTTGATGACTGGGATGACGTCAAGATAGGCCGAGGCAAGAAATGACACGAGAACTGACCGTCTCCTGCCTTCAGTTCATAATATCGCGCAGCGGGGATGGTCTCGTCGTTGACGATTGTCCCATTGGTCGATTCAAGATCGATGACGAAGGGCCTAGACATGTAAGTTCTCGGTGAAATAGCAGACCATAGAATGACCCTTACTTCACAGTCCCCTTAGAGCCTCCGAATTCATCTTTTTCCTGGACATACCGGTCTGGACGCTGATCAATCACATAACCCCTGGTATCAGGATTGGACGTACATTGAATCGCGGCATGTTGTTTGGAGCACGAAGGATGGTCCAGCGCAATGTCGGCAACCAGTCTATCTCGTCCAACCAAGTACGCACTCTGTCGGTGGATATGGAGGAGCTCTGAGCCATGTAAGCAGTCCGAAGGCTTTATGGCATAGTAAGTTGCTCACCAGTTTGTTGAGAATCCTTGAATACGTACAATCTCCATCCTAGCAGCGGTTTCCTCGCTTCTGGCGGTTCATTGTACTTGAGGACAGTGCTTGTCCCATCTGCGGCTTTCACCGTGTTCGTCTCTGCAGCCAGCAACCCGGAAGGCGCAAAATTGGGTTTTGCCTTATCTACCGGCGAGTCAGGACGAGAGCCCTTGTCGTGTGATCGAGGTGATGCAGAGCGGCCTTCTCGACGCGACGAACTGCCATAGTCTCCATCTCTGGCACGGCCGTCGTAGCGCCCTCGATCCCTCTCTCGTTCTCTCTCGCGGTCCCTTTCGTGGTAGTCTTGATTCCGACGGCCGCTATAGGAACGTGGTTCGACATCTTCTCTCGACCTCCGATACGCCCTGTCCGTGTCGCGGGCAGACGATCCATAATCTTGCCGTCGGTCATAGTCTCTGTCTCTGTCCCTGTTCAGTCCGCCCTTGTCCCCTTTCCCCGACCTGTTTCGATTGTAGTCAAAGTCGCCGTCCCGCTGCTGTCTTCTTGGTGAACGAGAACGCTTGGACATATCAACGTGTTCTTCAGATGCTCCTCTGACTTGTCGCGTACAGTTTACTGTTCGAGAGTTGACCGGAGTTGTAGGTGTGGATATATTGGAGACGGTGTAGAGTACCACACAGAAGACGTAGGGTGGTGATGAATTATGGATCATGCTGCCATTGCCACAGGAACATCAACGCCACGTGACACGACCATCACCACCGGCCCGGAGGGGAAATTAAGCGCTCGCCGAGAGGAGGCAAGTAAGTGCTTATTAAAGAAGTTGTTAATATAGGTCGGACTTATACGTATGCTACTTTCATGAGGAGATGTCCGTTATGACAGAAATTTTCATATTACAAAGCGAAGTCACCAAAGACCAAGAATAGGCCATAATTCAAAGAAGAGAACCAAAAAGGGAGGATCCGGAATGTCGAGTGGGAAAACCGGCGAATTTACATGTTCTGTCAGTCTGCTGACTGGTTGTCTGCCTGTAAGCACCGAACACCGCTTGAGGCCTGACAGAATTCCACTCTTCCCATCTTGGATCGGTCGCCGTTGTCGAGCCAGATCTTGAGCGCGAAGGTTTGGCCCATGTCGTCGAATTCCTCCATCGCAAAGAACGGCTCCTGTTGTAAATCTTCATATCCCACAGCAGAGGTCGTAACCCTCAAACCAGAGCCTAAGTACACAGCCTCCTCTCCACGATCTTCTCTCTGCATGATGGGCATGGAGGGGTGGAAGGCGATCTGTTGCATAGAAGGGGAGTCAGTGGGGAGAGGCCGAGCGTTTTCAAGGCCTGCGAGATCATCGGTCGTGGATGTAGTGATGGACGATTCCGTCATTTGGCCACCGAGTGCAAGGGCGCCTCTGGCGGTAGAGGGTTGGTCCTCGAGGGGGTGCAAAATACTAGTTCTAGTCGTTAGGTTCCCTGCCACGGCGTGGTCACAGCATGGAAGAGAATCGTTGTGAAACAGGTCCTCGAATGTGGAGTTTCGTAAGACAGCTTTGGGGATGAAACGGGAACTGAGAACCGGCGTTGTCGACAAGGGTGATGGCGAGTTCAGAGAGTGACCGTCGAGAGTCGCAAATAAAAACGCCCGAGAGAATAAAATGAGGCACGCCAAAAAACAGCAAGAGACGACACGGTCCCAGAGTTTAGCGGTGTCAGATGAACGAATGTCATGTGGTGGGTTGAAGTTCCTTTGGTGGGCGGTTAAGCGCATCTCTTATAGTTATAACCAGTTCAAGCTGAATAATTGTATAGGCGGCGTCGTTCTGCGAGAAAACCAATGAGCAAGATTCAGGATGCACTCTCAATTCAGAGTGTATTTTGTTTCCGCGAGGTTGACGAGACCACGTGACTGTCGCGAATGACCATACTAAGTAATACCGATAGGGGTGTTACGGTGAACCAAGTAGGTCAGTCGCGTAGAGGTCTGGATAAAATAATAAATAAATTGAAACGTTCAGGCTGCTGGGGTAGGCAACATGGCGGACAGACGCGCTATTGTGGTGCCGCAATTCCACGTGGTCGAGGCTACCATTTTTCGTACTACTTTTGATTTCGATGGGTGCACGGGGAGGACGGGAGCTAAGTCGGAGCGCAGGCACGGAGGACTTCAATTGAGTTCTGTGGGCATAATCAAATGATCAGGTTGTAGTCGGCGACTACCAAGAGAGAAATGATCGAAAAAGCCGGAGACCCTAGAGAGTGGAAAGTTTCATGCCTGGAAAGAGAATAAAGACCTGTTAAAACACTCTACCCTCGCATGGTTATTTCGAGGGGGTACACACCCTCGAGACGTCGTGAAAACCGGAAGATCACCTATGGGAAGCTGGAACTCCGAGAGGAATAGACCGGGAGCTCTGGCTCACATTGTTGGCAGATGTTCACGCACCAACGTCTGGAATAGAAGGAGACATCATTCGAAGGCCTTCGAAAACCTTGTGAGAGAGATAAGGTGTTCTTAATATTTCGAGACCGAAAGAGGAGGGAATCTATCGCGTTCTTGGTAAGCTCCAATTATGACAACTTCTATCGTGGCGGTCACAGAAATTTACCATCAGGGGGTTGGGGTGAGATCCGACGAAGAGACCCATTCAGCTGCTTTCTCTAGGGTTCGAGCAAAGATTGCTTTTTGGAGTCGGCTATGAGCCAGATAACAAGCTCACGGGGTCCAGGGCACGACATAAATGCGAGAGGCCGAAGGACCACGCAAAATCCGACCGTTCAAAAGATAAATGCTGAACAGCCTTGGGAAGCACCGCTTGCCAAAGGACCCCCCGTAAACCGGACATGTAATTGGAGTGATCCAACATCCTGAAGAGTCGAGACGGTGCCCACGACCATCAATTCCTGTCTTTCGAGAGTAGGCACGGGTGAAAGTCGACACATGGCCGGCTCTAAGGATTTACGATCCTAGTTCCCATTCTGGATCCTGTCGCACTCGTAGCGGGCCACGGGTTCAAGCATACAAGTCAAGGGTTGGTATATAATGCGATCAACCGCTGGCATGCTGTGAAGCTCGAGATAAAGTGCGCAACGGCCTGAGCCTACGCTACGAGATAAATAAGATGTTCTGTTGAAGGAACTTTGGCGAGTAAAGGACGCCGAGGAAAAATCAGCAACCGTGGCATGGAAATCGGCATCCAGGACCTTTTCTTTCGTCACACTGGCCCCGTCTGGCAGCTGTTGTGAGAGAGAGCGCCGGCAACGACAATCAATAATGTCGCTGGGCTTGAACTTGAAGCTCATGGGCTTGAGGGGATGCGGAAGGGATCGCGTAGCAGGAGCGAATGGTCGCGGGTACGCCTTCCATGTAAGGCATGAACAAACTTAAAGAAAGGCGTGGACAAACTTAGAGTGGGAGATTGCGGCAGTGACCCTTAGCAGATCTTGTGGGCGATCCGGTGAATCTGGGAGATCGAAAATGGAGATTGCCGGCTCTGGCAGTAGCAGGGGTCCCAGATGGATACGGAGGAGAGTTGTTGGGGAAAAGACGGTTGTGGGGACCCGGGAGGCGGGGCAGGTAAGCGGTGTATTGTGCTCAGGACGCGACTCTGGATTGAACACAGGGGATTTGGACATCCAGCACGGGACGGAGGCAGTCCTGACACAGGAGGCCAATCAGATCGATTGATGAGCGCCACCCAAATGTGGTAAGTGAAGAAAGAGATGTCACGGCGGCGAATGTCACACGCGTATCCAGATTTCAAGAACATTATTCAATCGGTGAGCTAGAAATATGTAGATGGAGTCCAAGGCACGGGCACCTCTTCTCCTAACGCTATCGCTGGCGTTTCGCCTTTTATTCTCCTCTTTCCTTTCTTCTTCTCTTTCTCTTTCGTCGTATACCCCTTCGCCAACTACTTCACTCACTGCTCCCGACGACCAATATGTTCAACAGCTTCAATAATCCACGGCAGCGCTCTCCTTCTCATTCTTTCTCCCATCCGGTTCCGCTCCGTCCTCAAGACTACTACCTCCCCAATTCTGCGTCGGATTCCCCTGCTCTCGACCCATCGGGCACCTCCTCTCGCCATCTTGCCCGTGAACACTCGCGCCACGATTACTACTCCCAGCACTCCGACCAGGTATACCGTAGCGTGCGACATAATGCCGCCACGAATTACGACGCTCGCCATTCCTTCTCCCAGTCCAGCGCCTTCTCCCAGTCTTATAACCGTCACGTCGGCACGTCAGACTTGCATATCTCCTCTAGCATCTCATATCATGCCCAACATTCTCACAACGCGTTGCCACCGGTCTACACCAACATGGACCACCTCAAGCGGAATGAACCGTCAACTGTCGTCGATAATTATTCACTAGCCCCTCACCCTTCGGAATTCGCCTCCGAGTCTCCCTTGTCAGCAATCCCGGGGCCTCCGTCGGAGCACTCGGACTCGGATTTCTGGTCGACTGAAACGCCAGACGCTCCAGCTGCAGAACCATCCAAGCCTAGAAAGGCGCGACGAGAGAAGCCCCGTATCGCACTCGCGCCTGACCAACCACCAACAACCCAGGGCAAACCTCGTGCGCGAGTCTACGTAGCGTGCGTTCAGTGGTAAGCAATACGTTATCTTTCAGAGGCACCGTGCGACATCTAATACCTTTACAGTCGCACCCGAAAGATACGTTGCGATGGCGCAAAGCCGGTCTGCCACAATTGTGGCCGCAGATCAAATGGCAATAATGAATGCGACTACGACCCGGTTCCCAAGCGCCGTGGCCCAGACAAAATACCAGGCGCTCGTCAGCGCATGGCAAGAGATCTTATGAACGAAATTGATAACGGCCTCCCCCAACGACGCCGCCGTCGAACCAGTGATAATTCGAGTTCACACTCCAACGAAACAACTCATCACCAAATGCCAATGCAGCACCCCAGTACTAGTGCCACGGACTCCCCTCAGAATCGCAGGCCCGGTTCAGATAGCTCTATTCCCCTCACCCTACATTCATCTGGTGATAATTCTAGCACCAGTGAATTTGTACCTCTTCCAAACTATTCGCGTTCTTCATATACTCCATGCGGATGTCATGGCCTCAGCCAATGCCCAGAGCTTTTGGGTGTGTGGGAGGTTTGACAGGCCCCAGAAAAGCTGACTCCGTTATGATTATTTTTGATCATAAGTATCATCTGATTGGAACCGCTTTTTGACTCTCAGATTGCAACATATCACGATGCAATTATCAGTTTCACGGTGCGACCTCCTTATAATGGAACATATGGAACCACGAGACCCCATTACATCCGAAGAAAATGTGTGCGAATCGACCGTGCCGGCCTCAGAGTCTTCACTTGCAAAATCAGGCTGGACTTTACTATCCTCTCTGCGTATCACCGGACACCCCACACCTCTCGATGCATCTTAGCGAAGATCATCCGCCCAGAGCATCGCCTCTGGTCTACCATTTCTCTTCTGTGAACCGAGCCATAGATTTCTATGTGGGTCCCAATATTTGGGTTAGCTCTCCGACACAGTCAAATAAGACAGCATCCAGCTTTGTATTTCTCTCTCGTCATGGCGACCTGCCAGAGCTCGTCCTGCTTATTCAGAAGCGCTGGCGAGCGGTACGATTGAGGAACAAGAGGCTGCTATGGAGCATACGCAGCCTTAACGCCGGCGGACTGACGAAAACCTACCCGATGCTGTAGGTATTCCTTCCGGCTGCCGATCACTCCGTAATTAATTGTCACTCTCCTTTAGCCTTTGGCCGGCTTCTCACCTGTTTCAAGGTATGCGTCCGCCCCCGTCATTCTTCCGAAAGATCGAAACCCGCGATTCTGTCCTATGCGTTTATTGCTGATGCCTGCCCTTGCAGAACCCAGATGATCCATTATTTTATGCGTTGCTCAAAATCTCCGAACTTATGGCCGTTCCATCGTCGTCTCCAGACACGCCTCCTTCTGTGACCTCCGCTCCCATTTGTTTCTCCCTAGTTGCTCCTGCCGCAGGATTGTTCTAGGGCGAATGTTACTACATTGCAGCTGACCATACTCTCATGTGGCTCCCTGCTCCTGGAATCTGTTCCTGCCAGAAGGTGAAAAGAGTAAGAATTTTTGTCCCTATCTTTCCCGCTTAACCCCACGTGCACCAACAGGTTGACTTGTGCGATGTGGGCCATCGCGTAGCATGGCAAAACGAGTCTTTTTTCATTCAGGGACCGGTCCCAGGATTCGTTGCTAAGTATGTAGTAGATGTAGTAGTAGTAGTAGTAGTAGTAGTAGAATACCGGCATGGTCCAAACGCTGAACACCGGAGTATCAGTATGCGGGCAAGCAAAAGTCGCACACCGTCCCGGGCTCCGCACCCTTGTATCTCACAAGCCGCATCGCGTTCAAGACCGCCCTCACGATACAGGAATTTCACAGCAAAGAGACCATTTATTGATGCTCTTGATATATCCAGTGTACAGGAAGTGGGGGAATGTACATAGGAGCACTATTGAAGATGGACAGTACCTCGTGCGTGAATTTAGCTACCAGCATGATGGATCCTTCTTGGATGATGATGGTCTGCAGGAGTTGCCGGTGGGGTAGCTGTCCTGGGCGAGGGACAGCGGGGCATTCTGCATAGAATTTTTCCAGGAAGGTCATCCTTGCCAGTGTTAGTATGTAGTCTCGTACCAAGACCGTCGAATTGTCCGCTCGATTGTGTAGTATGGGTACTATGAAAGCTTACTTATTGTGTGCCAATGTAAGAATTTAAATTCTCGTGAGCTGAGGGGGCCGCGAGGAGCGACCGCAGGTCAGCGACGAGCGGCCCCAAGAAGATGCCATGGATCCGAAACACCTCCATCGCTCAGACCTGGAACAATGTCCTGAATTGAGTCAGGTCCAAGAGGTGTTCCAGCAGGAGAAATTCTGGACTAGAGAAATAAGATTAGACGAGCATTATTACCGCCACATGTTGGCTCTCATTTCACCAAGTTCTACTGTCATATATATTCAATTAAATGGTATGTACATTGTACAATTATAGGATAGAAAATAATATTCACTCTCAGTGTGGAAGAGGAAGACCAGGAGCCGGGGTTGATGGGGTTGACCAATGACCAAGCGCAGTGGCTTCCTCGAAGCTGGTGACCATCCAGACGGTGTCAGATTTGCCATCACGGGTGAGTGGGGAAGGGAGCCAAGGAGAGTGTAGACAGCATGGATGACGAGCAACGTCTCTTACCTCACGTTTGGGAAGTTCACCGGGAATCACTGCTAGAGAATATACGTGAGCAATATGCACTCCGAGGGGCAGCAAGACTCACCGTCGTTGGGCAGAGAAAGCACAGGATGCAAGGTGTGCCAGGTGGTAGTGGGATAGGGAGAGGTGAGCGGAGGTCAGGAGAGGAGAAATGTCCAAAACGACGACGCTTAACGTTCAAGTTTGGCAAGTACAGCACACGAGGGTCCAGGTATGGTCAACGGGTGCAAGCGGTGCAAAGAGAGTGCAGCAAGGGGGGTGTAGCAGCGAGAGAGGGCGGCCATGGATGGTCGGGTACAAAAAAAAAATGCAACCCAGACGACGCGAAACATCGACATTTGGGGTCGTTGAAAGTGCAGGTCCTGGGAGCTGGCTGCATCCATGTTGTTGCTGCACTCGCGGGGTCATGAATGTGGCGATCCTGTCGGCATCACGGTAGTGGAACCATATACTCTTTACGCTTAGCTTGTCTGATTGATCTACTTCAACGAGACACCGACGATGGCACCCATGTTCTATGCGAATCTGAGAGGAATCAGTACCAGAGAGGGAACTAAGAGACAATGGGGCATTTACCCTGCTTCGTTCGGCGTGTTGGTGCTAAACATCCGTCGGAGACCAAGTAGCAGTGGTGTCTGACATCCTTGAGCTGGAAGATGGTGTCGGTGTCGGTGTCGTTAAGCATCGGACGATGAGGTCGAGGTCGAATGGCTGAGGGTTCGGGTGCTGTCAACTTCTTGCATACTGCCCTTCTTCCTGAGCATGATGGTGTATCGACAGCGCTGTCTTCGAAGCGAGCACGGGGATCTCGGTGAACGGAGAGAGGCAGCATCCGAGGGTTTTCAGTGTACTTACTGGGTGGGTCTCCCCTGTACTGCGCTGTCTTCAAGGCAAGCTGAGCGGTGTGGTAGCAGCGAAGGCAAGGCGAGGTAGCGAACGACGAGCAGACCAAGAGTAGTCGGAAACCAATCTTATCTTATTTAGTTCATGCCGGACCGACCGTGACGTAACCAGGAAAGCCAACCAGCGGGCGTGGGTAGATCGCTACGAGCGAATTTTTGTGACCAGATCCAGGGTATATCAATCTACTTCGTAGGACTCGTAATGTATTCCACCACGACCCGGGCCGGGATTTTGGCCTTTATCTGAGATCCTGCGAATGTTCTTTTTCTTTTTGACAATTTCCCTGACGGCCTTATTTGTGACCTAAAAACTCGCACTTATGTTTTCTGAAGAATCCACTACGGTCTCCCACGCCTTGTCCGGATTTTCTCCAAAGGCAAGCGGCATCTGCACTCGACACGATCTTACGTTTTCGGTTTGGCGTGCTCATATTTGCATGGGGCGATGACGCTGAGGAGAGGCTGGTCGTCGAGACTATCAGAAATACTTGCCTGCAAATAGGGTATGTATGTCTAGTCCTTGATTTGTCCGGCATGTCCCATACGCTCGATATGCCAGGTCGTCAGGTGTAAACGTGAAAGATCTGGCCATAGATATTGCGAATCCCATATACTAGTAGCATTCACGACGGCTTATTTAATGCTTCACTGTTTTACACGCGAATAATTGGGCAAATAGCTTGCAAATAGATCTTTCAAGCTCGTCCCCAGGCCCCACGTCTGCGGCAGTCCAGCACACCTATGTCATATTTCTCATAGAAACCTTTATTGCTGATCTAAATTACCTTCACTGCCCAATAACATCTTTTTTCTTTTACTGCGCTCGCCCCAAGTTTGATAACCTTCAATTGCAACCTTCAATTGCAACGACTCGGACATCGAAGGGTATTTTGAAAGTCTTCATAGCAAACGTCTGAGATCTCGTGTTATGACATTAGTTACCTCTTGCACCCAGAGTTGGACTTGAGGTTGTACGTACTTGTATTCCTGTCTTCCACTACACCTCTCATACTTGCTTATTGTGCTTCGGCGGGAAGAGGACCGCTTTCGGAGCCAAGATTTATGCTTTTGCCTAAAGTAGAAGTGTGGCACCGTCAATTAGCAGGAACCTCGGCTGGCGGGCCACTGCTCCTTGACCTGTACCACCATCCATCAACGCCTGTTTGCCATGAGTCAAGACTCATCAACAGCAGAGACCGCGTACAGGCCTGCAGATCCCCTCGCAGACACAGACACTCTTCCACCTGCTCAAAGCACGTCGCTCAAACGCAGAGCATCGCAATCCTTCACCTGCCCCGACGATTCTATCAGCCGCAAGAGGATGAAGGAAGCCATCCCTGAGGGCGATGATAAGGCTACTGGGACTGAAAGCGGGGCTCCGGACGCGAGTGTAAGCTTCGTAGAGGTGCTCGCAGAGGAGCTTCAGTGCGGATGTTGTTCGGAATTGGTGTACAACCCCCTTCTTGTAATGCCTTGTCAACACTTCTTTTGTGGCAGGTGAGCGATTTCACTGTGATCCCTTTGATCTGTTGGTCTTTCTGATGCTTGTGTGGTAGCTGCGTTGTGCTTTGGGTTCGCGTAAGTGATAATTCGATTGTTATCTCGCATTCTTTCGTCCTGTACCGCCATGCCACTCGCGACTTGAAGTCCCACAATTCCTCAAACTAGAGTGATGACTTTCGTGTCTTTTCTACACGTCACGCAATCTAGCACCGGCGCTGATATGTATCACCTGTTTCTTAGCATGGGGGCACAAGTTGCCCTGCTTGCCGTGGCCTTGCGACGGTCGCAATGCCCTTCAGAGCTCTTCAAACCGTCATCGATTCCCTCCTACGCGCCGCGCCACATAAGGCAAGAACTGAGAGGGAGAGACAACAAGCAGATGAAGTTTACAAACCTGGTCATTCTATACGCGTCAGTCTTTCGTGATTACGGTAATTATCTTCGCTGAAGTGCTTTTCCAATTGTCTAGATCCCACCTCCCCGAGAAGCCTCCCCCCCTCCTGATATGGACAGAAGTACAGAATACGTACACCCTTGTCCACACTGTGTCGCGAACAACCCATACGACTGGAGATGCCCCCAACCCATTCCTGACCCAGCTACTGATCTGGAACATGCCTGGCATGTTGACGATGGAACGCCACCGGGACATGGGCACTGCGGAAATTGGTTGGAGATCCTTCCCTGCATTCGAAATTTATTTTTACTGATGGCCTTTTCAGCGAAAACTTGCTTGCAATTCGCGCCCCGACGACTACGAGATGTGACCTGTGCCTTGTGTCATTCTGTGGTATCGGCGTTCAAGAACGGTGTTCCGCCCTGCCGATCATGTCCCAGTATCCTCATAACCTGGCCACCCACACCGACTTGATTCAGTCAGCGGAGGTGTACGACTGTTTCGATGGAAATACAGTTGAGACGGAGATTGTGCTGGAGTATGTCGAAGCGCAGGGGTTGAGTCCTCGTCATATTTATCGCGAAGTACGTATCTGTCTCTCCTGCCATGTTTCTCGGTTCTGAGGATTTGTAAACCCATTATAGATCGTTCAGCACATTCAGAAGCAACCACGAGGTTTCCAAGCCCTCATCGATCTTGATCTTTTTAGCGATATTCATGCGGTCGCGCCTTCAGCGGAGAATAATCCTGAAGCGTCTAGAAATAGAATTTGCCGGCCCTGCGCAGCTGAAGTCTTCCTGTGGGGATTAAAGGACTGGTGGGTCAGAGAACGTCAGAAGGGGTTCGTCGAAGGGTCCGTAATGAACAGGAAGGACTGCCCCGAAGGAAGCAGCTGCATTCTACAAAAAGATGATATTGGTACGTTGACCTTCCGGTGCTAAAGTCAACCAGTGCTAATGTTTCCCTTTCCTTCACAGCTCATGCTCATGAATGTAACGAATCTTCCCTGTTTGTTCTTTCTTTTCCTGACGTGGCTGTCCATTCCAGTTAATCATGTATTCGCACCTCGAGAACCCGAAGAGCCCGTTACTGCCGC